AACAACCCTGCCAACGGGCAAGGATGGAGGAATGAATAACTGGGTAAAAGTCGGAATAAGGAATAGCTTTACGGGAGATGGGATAAGTGTGGATAGCTTCCTTAGCGGCAGCGTCCACACGCTCAGTTAAAGAGACGCCAACATGGCTGGGAACCCAGCAAAACTCTACCGACTTAAATTTACTGGATAAGAAAAAGCCAAAGTTGAATCTCAATGACCACTGGGTGAACCGGATTTAAGGACCCCAAACCCATGAAGGCACTACGAGAGTCAACTACAACCACAAAGGAGGATTGACGAGAAAGCAGGAGATGGAGAGCATGGAGAATAGCATAAAGCTCCGTTGTGAAGATGCTAGTCTCCGAAGGAAGGCGACACATATAAGTGCGGTGAGGAAAAACAACTGAGTAGCCTGATGCATCTGCAGACTTAGACCCATCGGTGAAGATGGAACCGGAGCGGGAGTGTGAAGAAAAGTGCTCAAGAAAAAGGCGGTTCAGAACCGTAGGAGGAGTAAAAGCTTTAGTAATGCGGGTCAAGGATGTACAAAACTTCGGAAGGGGCACCACCACAGGGGCAAGGATGGAACAATACGAGGAGAAATATGAGAAAGACGAATGGAAAGAGAGACCTGTAAGCAAGATAGCCGGACAGAAAGAGGGAGGGGGTGAAGAGGAACAGTAACTACAGGAGGGATAAAAGTCAAAGCACGACAGAGGCGAGAGGAAGGATGTTGCAAGGACCGCACCAGATAGGGAAGACAGTAGCTTCCCTATCACAGTGGTCCTGGAGAGATAGGAAACCAGTGTCAACATACAAGCTGAGGGCCTTAGTCGAATGAAAGGGACCAGAGCTGAGGCACAACCCAGCATGGTGCAAAGCATTAAGACAGCGAAGAGTAGGAGAAGCGGACAAGCAAGCAGGGCAACCATAATCGAGTTAAGACAGGACGAGAGAGAAGTGCAAATAGAGAAGCATGCGCCTATCCGCACCCCAAGAAGTATGGAACAAAACCTTAAGGAAGGTTAAAGGCCTTAGAGCATTCAACTCAGAGGTAAGAGATATGGGGCGACCAGGACAAACGAGTGTCAAAGAATAACCCCAAAAGCTTCGTGGACTCTTTGTACTCAAGGGGATGACCATAAAACGACATAGAGGGACAAAGAACGACCTGCTTCCGAGTAAAAGTCATAGCACAAGTTTTGGTTGTAGAAAACTTGAAGCCATGATTGGTGGCCCAAGATGACATGGCATCAATCGCAAATTGAAGCCGCCGTTGAAGGAGAGATGAATCATCACCTCGACAGCAAAGAGTAAGATCATCACCATAAAGAGCAGAGAAGATGCCAAAAGGGAGAGAGGAAAGAAGACCATTGAGGGCAACCAGAAAAATAGTAGTGCTCAGAACACTACCGTGGGGTACACCTTCGGATTGCTGAAAAGAGGCAGAGTATGGGGGTACCAAGCCTCACTCTAAAGGAACAACGAGACAGGAAGCTTTGGAGGAAGAGAGGGAGATTACCACAAAGGCCAAAAGAATGAAGTTGGGACAGAATATGGTAATTCCAAGTGGCGTCAAACCTTTTCCAGGTCAAAAAGGACTGCAACAGGAGGTCTTAGCTGCAAAAGTAGTACAAAGATCGACCTCCAAAAGTTCACAAAGACATCAGTCGTACTGTGGCAAATGTGGAAACCAAATTGAGAAGGGGAGAGTGGTCATAATGTTCAAGAACCACATCAGATGAACATTAACCATACGTTCAAACAGTTTGCAGACACAACTCGTGAGGGCAATAGGGCGGAAGTCCTTAGGGGATGTCCCCAGAGACCCTGGTTTCCGAACATGGAGTAAAATGGCATCAAGCCAGTCCTCTGGTACTGACGACGACTCCCAGACAGTTATACAGATTCAGTAAATACTGAGACGTGCATGGAGGGAGATGGCAAAGCATCTCATAATGAATGTCATCTGAGCTCGTTGCCGTAGGAAGAGAGAGCCAAAGTAACTGAAGTTCAAAGAGAGAGAAGGGATCGTTATAGGGAAATCGGAGATGAGTGCGTAAATTTAAGGGATGAGATTCAAGAACGACCTTAGGAAGGAAGGATTGAGGAAGATGAGAACCAGAGCTAACAGTTGAAAAATGGAAATCCAGTTTGGTCGCGACCTTCACTGGGTCCGCAACAAGAGTACCACGAAGGTGAAGGACCAGGGAGACATCTGGAAGGAACTTACCCACTATCTTGTGGAATTTCTCCCAGACCTGCAGCAGAGGAGTATCGGACGTAATGGTGGAAACATAAGATTTCCAACTCTCATGTTTAGCTGTACGGATGGTCCTACAGGCCACCTCACTTGCCTTCCGAAACAAAATAAAAGAATCGGCCGTCTGCCGGCGGCTGTGTTTTTTTCAGGCTGCACGCTTACAGCAGACCGCCCAAACACAGTCCATATTCCACCAGGGAACGCACTTCCGCATGCCCCGGGAGGTAGAGCAAGGAATGGAGTGGAGGGCAGCGTCGAAGACGGCGTCATGAATAAGGAAGAGGGCGCGAGGGAGAGGCAGAGTGGACAGATTGGAGAGAGAGTAGCATGGAGGGTGAATAGGTTCCAGTCAGCCTAGGCAAACTGCCACCTAGGGAGGGTGAAAAGAGAAACAAGTAACAAGGATGGGGAAAGGGTCACTGTTATGGAAGTCATCAAGAACTCGCCACGTGAAATGTAAGTAAAGAGACAACGAGCAGAGAGAAAGATCAGGACAGGAAAGGGTGCGAGTTTGGGAGTCCTCATGAGTGGGTTCACCAGAATTCAAAAGAGACAAGGATGAAGCGAGGACGAACGGTTCAAAAAGGTGGCCTCGGGTGTTTGTCAAAACATCACCCCAGATGGTATGCCGACAGTTGAAGTCACCTAACAGAAGCACAGACTCTGGCAAGGAGTCCAGTAGGTGCTAAAGATCAGGAAGAGAAATCGGGACATTTGGGGGGAGATGAATGGAACAGACAGTATACCATTTACTCACAAAGACACGGGCTGCAGAGCATTGGATAGGCGATTGAAAAAGTAGGGGGACGAAGGAAACATCAGTATGAATCAGGATAGCAGTAGAGTTACAGATCCCAGCAAAAGCTGGGGCCCGTGGGGAGAGAAAGGAATAACCACGAAAGTGACCAGGACTATTACCAAGCATCAGTTCCTGGAGACATACACAAAGCGGTGAAAACTGTGTAATCAGAAGTTGGAGTTCATGGAAATTGGCATAAAAGCAATGAATATTCCATAGACATTGTCAAAAGGAAAGAGGACAACAATAGAGAACAATGAAGAAACAAAGGCAAAAAAGAACACAGCATATTAAAGCTCAGGATCAGCAAAATCGGGGTTAGGGGGCATGGGTAAACTTAGAAACTTAGTAAGGACGGAGTTAAGGAAGTGGGAGGACAGACAAGATGTGGACGGACGAGGTCCGGAGGAGGAGACAACTGAGAGGAGCAGTCCAGGACAGCAGGACGAGGCAGGCAGAAACCAGAGAGCGCACCTCAGGCAGGACAGCAGGAGGAGGGGGCCAGAAACCAGAGAGCACACCTCAGCAAGGACAGGAGGAGGAAGGGGGCAGAAACTGGAGAGCGCACCTCAGCAAGGGCAGCAACCGAGAGGGAATCGGAGGCTAAAGAAACCTCCATAGCTGGGACAGGGGGGGCTCGACCATGGAAATGGAAGGGGATGGAGTGATACAGTCATAGATGGGGGGTGAGGAGAAAGCGATACCTTCTTACACACCAGGGAGGAGGAGAGGAGCCAGGCTTACGTTTCTGACTCGAAAAGACAGGTGCCAGCAACAACGTACTGGGCGACAGACTCTATTGTCTCAACAGGAGAAGGAGAACAGGAACGAACAACATGAAGACTGCTGGGAGGATGATAAACAACAGCCTGGACAGGCAGCATGGAGGGCCAAGAGACTGGGGGGGAAGGTTGGGAAGAAGGATCGGAGGTAAATGGGAAAGAAGACACAGGAGACATAGCAGAAAGAAAAAAAGGGGTATAGGGTGAAAGAAACTCTGCCCATTGTTTCTTGCCGGCGCCTGGGATCGAACCCAGGACCATAGGATCACAAGTCCAGTGTGCTGTCCGCTCGGCCGACCGGCTCCCCTCTGTATAAAAAAATTACAATGTAGGTTGATTTTGAGATTTCTGATCCATTAACCACTGTGCTGCATAGAGCGCTCTGCTGCTCTAAAAATAATTATCTGATCTTTAAAAAAAAAAAAAACACAACTTTAAGAGCTTACAACTTACAAGTTGATATTTTTTTGTAATTAGGCCATATTTTAATGTTTTTAATGTTTTCATCACTCTTTGTGTTTAGAAATGAAAATGGTGGAATTTGGAAAAATTTTGACATTAACTTTACCTGAACATTTATAAAAACAAAAATATGTCCTTAACAATTGCACTATGAAGTTTTTGCCGAAACCAGGTGTGCAGTGCGGTGGTTATTAAAGTTGCCGGAATAATGGTGATTAAAATTAACTTACATGTTGAAAAATATGTTGAAAAATCTTTTAGCGATGGATTCTTTTATGGGTAAATAAATGCCTCTATATTACTGGTAATTTACTGTTGATCATAATCCATCTCTTTGTACATCCCATAAAATAAATCAAGTTCATTATTATTTATTTCAAGATTTCCTAATTTAGTATCATTTGTCTATATAATTACTACATAGGTTGCTTGAATCCTCTGGTACAAATTCTTTATGACCACGACCAATATAGAAAACTATTTTGCCTACTTTTTTTATATACAAATTTGTAAAAATTTGCATAAGCAGTTGTTTAATTTAATTAATATAATAGCAGAGTACTTTTATATATTATTTTCAAGTTTTGATAATATATTTATGAGAATAATAAAATAGTGTATACCAAGGTATTGTACCAAAGGATCCTGCAAAATGGAGTAGCATTGTTAAGAGGAATGTACAGAAACAAAAAAGCATTCTGCATTAAATAATTTAATACAGTAACCGACTTATTTTTGCTTGTGTTGCCACATCTCAGGTGGCCAGTTTAGTTACTTCCACAGTATAATATTCTCAACTGTACTATCAATATTTTTTAAGTCAAACATATAATACACATTCTACATTATTTACACTTTAAAACAGGGCAAGTTTCCGTAGCCTATGTACATACATCTGTAGTCCTCTTGTGTTACGTTTCCAAACGATGTGCTGAAAAAAATAGAAAATGCTGTGCAACATTTATACAAGGTATAATATAATATTCACAAAGAGCAATAATAACAAAAAACCAGCATTGAATGTAATGAAATGCCATTTCCTGGGTGAGACCCGGAGGCTCCCCGGAGCTATACTGGGCTGATGTGTATATATTAGACCGTGGAAACAGTCAATCGAAGGAGTTCTAGGCCTACCGAAGACCAGAGCCAGAACCTGGCCCCCTCAAGAGAGGCACGAGGAGCAATGGCCTAAAGACACCCCCGTGTAATTGGAAGCAGTCTTTGTCTGCCATCTACCAGGTCAGATACCCAGAAAGGTAGGAATTACAAAACAAAATACTGCTGGTCAAAATTTGCAAACCGAAAGTTGAACTAGCAACAGAACTCCCCAATCAAAACCAAGGAAACAATATGACGTCACAACAAACGTTGCTCATCCATCTGCGCAACCCCCTCCCCCCCTCCCCGGGAGAGGGACGGGAGGGGGTCCCAGACCTCCCCGCCAGCAACTCTCCTAAGTTCAGAGGTTGAGTATCAAAAATGCAAAAAAAACACCGATCAGGAGGGAGGGAGGGATGCCGGGGAGCCTCCAGGTCTCACCCAGAAAATGGCATTTCATTACATTCAACGCTGGTTTTCTGTGGTGAGCCCCCTTTGGCTCCCCGGAGCTACCTAACCAAAGATAAAGAAGAAGAGGGACTTACACGGGAGGCGGTCATCACTTGTTCCTCAACTCAAAGTCGAAACAGCAAGCAGGGAAAGAACCAAATCCCTGGCGAGTAGACAAATGGACTGGTTGGGAGCCCACATCAGCCAGTCATCGAAGTAAGCCAGAACCCGAACCCCGTAGTTCACCTAGAACTACGGGTAGTAGAAATCATTACAGAACACACTGGACCCGGAGGTCCAAACACACCATCCAGGCACCCAGCACCAAAAACAGCCGGACTTAAGACAGTAGTCATCCAAAAGGAGGGGCAAAAGACCCAGGGATTCAGACGAGACAAGTCCAGTATGAATCGCAGATCTGCACAGTCCCGTTTCAGAACAGAAAACAGGCGGGAAACCCACCTGAGGGACATTGTCGTTTCGACCACGCCTAAGCAAACCCACTCCCGGATGACCCGACAGCACAAGAGAAGAGGCCTGCCCTGCCAGCCCCAATCCCCCCGAAGGAGGAGGAGCGACCCAACGCCACCGCAGGCCAGAGGAAACAACCCGAAATGCTCATGAATCGTGGGACCAGGCGAGAGCAAGCAGTGTGAGCCTCCCCCCTATCGCCCCGTCAACGGGGCGACCCAGCTAAAGGGCCAACGACCCCTACGAGAGCCCAACCGACGCTCAGAGCGATCACTGTGCCGACCAGACGCAGACGGCTCCACAGAAGGTGCCGGTCCCGAATCTGACACTACTGGCTTACGACAACCGAAGGAACCCTGAGACCTGGCACGACCCTTCCAGGCAGGACAACCACGCCCCCCCCCCCCCTTCCCTCCCAGTGAACCAAGTCTGACATACTGTAGGCCGGCAACTAGACAAAGCCGCTTGCAGAAAATGTACCACCACAGACTGTAACATCAACGGACAAAAAGGGAACGAAAATCTAAGAGCCAGGGCTCAAGCCGATTCAAATGAGTGGATGATCATCGCCTGGCGGCACGCGAGGCGAGAAGCAAAGAACAGAGACACCGCCTCCCTCAGAAATGGAGCAAACATCTTCAACAAGGCAGCCGACGCCCAAGCTGCCGAAGCAAACACACCGGACACCGGCCTGGATCCTAGTTCCTGCACATCCTCGCCGAGCCAGTCCGAAGACAGCTCCAGCAGAGAAAAGAAACGCAAGGCTGAGGCCAAATGCCCACAGGCGTGCAAATCCTTGGCCACCAGGGACGCCAAAAGGGAGAATACCTGTGCGTGAAGCTGCACCTGACTGACATCACGAGGAAATACGGGGGTGAACAAGCACGCATTGAGATGCTCAAATTCGCCCCCTAGGTAAACCTGAACAACAGTAGTCAACTCCCGCCATTCAAGCGCACGAGTCCGACAGAACAAATGCCATGCCCCCAACTAAAAGAAAGGACAGTCCTCCAACCAGGAAGACTCCAGCACCTCGTAACGCACCCAGAAAGGAAATGAAGAGCCAAACTCGAAAGAAGAAGGATCCATTACAGAGGCATAATCCGGGTCTCGCAAGAAGTAAGCCGCAAGGGCTTCCCGCACCACCTTTGGTGTGATGCGGGAAGCCAAAAACCTCTGGAAGATGGGAACCGAAGAACCCAAGGGAACCCGGAACCGAACCCGGGGAGGAGTCACACACATATCAAACTTGTACAGGGAGGGAGGGATAGGAAAACCCCTCCCCCTGTAACAACAAGTCCCACACCGAGGGTATCAACACCTAAGCCAGGTCAAACGAGGCCCAAGCCCCCCAAGTCAACTCCTCCCCAGCCACGGGACCCTCCACGTCAGGACCCGGGGGCGAGCTGTCCTCCAAACCCTCTGCCTCTGGAGAAAAAACAGAATCCACTGGAAAAGCTGGGACGAAGAGGCCCCCCCGGCGCGGCCCAAAGGCTCCAGCAGGAGGAACAGGCTCGAATGCCTCCGCTGCCAATCCGGAAGGGGCAATCCCGGAAGAAGCCCGAGACTCACCACCAGGCAAACCCTGCCCCGACTCCGAAACTCTCAGACGTTTGGGAGCTGGGAGCAGAGGGTGGGGGGAGCGGATGAACCACAGCAGGGGAAAGGACTAAGGGATGCAGATGAAACCAAAGTCGAGGCGACTAACACTCCCAAGTTCGGATCCCTATAACAAAAGCGGGGCAGCTGCGGCATCCGGAAAGGAAAGCAACCTTGCGCGTTGCAGCAACCTAAACCGTGCACGTAATGCCGAAGCTGCTTGCATCCGAATATCAATCTTGTTGAACTGGGTGACTTGGAGTACAAACAAGGAACACCACTTGCAGGACTCCGAGTCAAAGGTGTCATTGACCCAACAAGCAGCATGGCGGAGACAAAGACGGTGAGTGTCACCCTGAGTCAAGGGAACAGAGCAACCTTCAAACTCGCACAAGGCGAGGTAGGACTCTGAGGTCTCTTCCATCGGACCACTGAGCCCCAATGGGGGTTTCCAGGGCCCTTAGGCTGACTGCTAAGGGAAGCCCAGGCAAGGTACTGCTAACCGGTTATCCCAGAGCTACCAAGCAAACAAACTAAAAGCTGAACCCCTGCGACGTGTGCAAGCACGGGAAACTAGTGGAGGGCCACCAAAATCCTACAAGTGGTCCTAACGCCACACTAGGCAGACCCCTACCAGGCAAAACAAAAACAAAAGAAAAACCCCGCAAAAGCATAATGTCTCCAGGTGAACAGAACCGGTTGTTATGCGTATATCAGACAGCTGCACTGTACCTCGCGCCCCAGCCAGCGACGAAACTACCTTCTACCCAAGAGCAAACAAGAGTAAGAACCACTCCAGTCGAACCCCCAAGGGCGGGCAATCACCGAGCAGTGACAGAACTACGAGGAGGTAGTTCCCGAACGGCATAGGAAAGATAACCCTGAAGCCGCAGGGGCAGTACGTAATGGGCAACTAGGGAAGGTGGCCTTAGGTGCATGCAGCCCCAGTACTCGTGTTACTCCTGGCACGCACGATACCAATACTGAACAACAACACCACACTGCAGCACTGCTCAAAGGATGGAGCCAAACCGTTTGCCCTCACAACAGCCTGTGAACTGAGGAGAGTTGCCAGTGTGGAGGTCTGGGACCCTCCCCGTTCCCCTCCTGGGAAGGGGCGGTGTTGCGAAAACGGATGTGCGGTATTTGTGGTGACGTCATACTTGTTTCCTTGGTTTTGATTGGGGAGTTCTAGTGCTAGTTCGGCTTTCGGTTTGCAATTTTTTACCAGCAGTACTGTAGTTTGTTTTGTAATTCCTACCTTTCTGGGTATCTGACCTGGTAGATGGCAGACAAAGACTGCTTTCAATTACACGGGGGTGTCTTTAGGCCATTGCTCCTCGTGCCTCTCTTGAGGGGGCCAGGTTCTGGTTCTGGTCCCCCGGTAAGCATAGAACTCCTTTGATTGACTGTTGCCACGGTCTAATATATACACATCAGATTGGTATAGCTCCAGGGAGTCAAAGGGGCTCTCCATAGAAATATTTAGAAAATTAAATAGGTATATACTGGATGGCAAGAGTAAGTGCTAGAAGGTTGTGACTAAATGCCTAAATGTTTTCCAATGGAAATATCCATGAAGAAAACTTGGAAACAGAAATAGTGCACTTGTTCCATTATTTACTTGAATTTACCTAATGGCCGCCATCTTTCTAGTAGCCTTGATGGGGACAGGAAGCTGGCAGTTTGTTAAAGGCATCCCCCTCCATTGTTCTTAAGAATTTTTTCCAACTGGATTTTGGACTGGAGTAATGTCTTGGCATTTACAGCTTCATGTTTTGCTTGAACAAACATGAAATGTACTATAAAATGAAGCAGAAAAGACAGACTCCACACAGCTTCATATGTAGACACGATACAATAACTGGCTCAGGAGCCTATATAGGTATTGACAAAGTCAAGAAGCAGAACCAAAGAGTGTAAGGGACTTACCCCCAACCGACTCACACACTTGCTAATTCCAGGAAGTACTACCCATCTTGTTCAGAAATTTATCACATCATATCGTTCTTCTACCTGTTGAAAATTTACTCGACTCCCACTCAAACCATAATTAATGCACTGGAAAGGTGGAAGCAACAGGGGTTCATTACAGTTGTACTGTACGAGTGTTGTACTGAACTCGGTTCCAGTATAAAATAATAGTACTGTAGTCTTGTAGAGCAAGCCCATGCCTTTACTAAATCAAAATTTGGTGCAGAAAAAGTAACAATCAAAAAAATATTTAAAACTTACCTTTATAATTGATTTTGACATAAAGAAAAAAAAAGCTTGTTATATTGTGTGCATAATAACAAAAATACAGTAACAAAATTGTAAACTTGGATGCAATGTAACTGTTTGCAGTGGAAGGAGCCCAGAACAATTATGTTTATTTAAGCAGGAGTGCTGTGACAAAAGTGTGATGGTGTGTCAGAATACTGTTTGCTTTTACACCATCCATAGTCAACCAGATCATGCAAAAATAGGCTGCTAGCAATAAGACATCGAATGTTATTCATCAACTTTATCTTCTCTTATTAGGCCACATTTAGATTATGAAGTTCAATTTTTATTACTGTACCATGAATTGGACACAAATTTACTTAAATGTGTACAAAAAAGTATAAGTAAATCTCAAAAATTAGAAATAACCTCTTACCAAAAAAAAATATCAACAATGCTAATTTTACATTCTACACAAAGATAAAGAGTTGAGAATGCAAAACAATGTTTAGAAATTGGAAAAAGTTTTGATTCAGGGAAGATCAGGGTGAATACTCCTTCTTAAAAATAGTGTTGGTGATTTATAGAACAGATTATCAAGTACAGTGGTACCTCAGCTTACGAATTTAATCTATTCCCAGAGACAGGTCGTAAACAGAAAATTCGTAAACCAAAGTATTTTCCCCATAAGAAATAATGTAAACTGAATTAATCCATTCCACACCCCCAAAAATATTAACTTCAAAGTCAATTTTATACCTAATTCACCCAAATCTTTAGAACTAAAGTATGTACAAGTTAGTGCTTACCTTTATTGATTACTATGTATCTATTGATGACTATTGGCGTATGGAAGACGATGAGGAGGAGGGGAGAGGAGGAGAGGTGTTAGTGTACTCTCTTACACTTTGCAGGAGTACCACCAGGACCTGGTTGTGCCTCACTGCTTGCTTGTCTTACTAAGAATTTGTCTAAAGACACATTTTTTCCCCTACATTTTAACACTTGTCTGTAGCATTGTCATTTAAAAGGTCAATGCAACGGCCTGCTACTGTTTTATCTGGGCAAGTTTTCTCAACAAAACTTTGCAGTTCTTCTCATACTTCACACATTTTCTTAACGAGGAAGGGACATCCTCTACTGCCACTACTCAACTATTTTCTTAGGTTGAACTTTACCACTGTCTTTCTTGGGACCCATGGCAAAATATATAATGATTACTTTTATGTTCAAATACCCAAAATTCTGAAAAAACAATAAAATTCTTTACAAAGAATTCAGGCACGATTGTCACTAGGCAGGAGGCACTAGTAAACCGAGGCGTGGTCACCGTGCCACCACGAGCTATGTCGGCCATACACGTATCAACAAACTATGTTACCCGAGGCAAAGTTCGTAACCCAATTTGGATTGTATGAATAAATTGGGCTCATAACCCGAAAAGTTCGTAAAGAGGGGCATTCGTAAGCCGAGGTGCCACTAATATAAAAAATATAGGAACACTAGTACTCACCTAATTGTGCTAGCGGGGGTTGAGCTTTGTCTCTTTGGTCCCGCCTCTCAACTGTCAATCAACTGGTGTACAAATTCCTGGGCCTACTGGGCTCTATCATATCTACATTTGAAACTGTGTATGGAGTCAGCCTTTACCTCATCACTGCCTAGTGCATTCCATTTATTTAATCTACACTTGAAGAACTAGTGTTCTTCAAGTGTAGATTAGACATATATAGGGGCAAGTTTGGTTGGGTATAGTTAGGGGCTGCCCAGCATGGGGCCAAGAGAGCCTTCTGCAGTTTACTCTTATGCTCACTTTCTTCTGCAGAAAAGTGCAATGAACCTAGGTCTTAAAAGAATAATTACTTACACTGTTTTGGTATCCTGAGCGATTCATTATCCTTGATTGTTACTTCATGAGTTACAGCATGAAACAGGTAACGAACAAACAGATTCTTTTCTTCTCCAGGGCAAGGATCATAAAAACCCGGAAGAGAACACTGTAAATATGAAAAAAAAGAGTAATATTAGTTCTAATTCTTTCACTAAGTGGATAAAGAGCAGTAGTACTGTAGTACTAAAGCACTATAAGCATGCACAATAAGACAGTACAATGAAATACAAAGCAACTGAGTTATTAAAAACAGAAAATATCTGGTGGAATAATTAAAGAAGTGATAAATACAGTATTTGAGTGAAGTGGTTGCCAACATTAATAACTCAAGATGGACCAGCCACTCAAAGCAAATAATGACGAATAACAAAGGTTACCAATGTATTGGTATCAGTACTGGTCAATGTCAGCAGGTATCCTTTTCTTGGGGGGAGGGGGATAATAGAGGGTGTACAGGAGTAGACGACTTCCAATATCACTGAACGTGTCTCTTAATGCCTACATTAAATGGGTATCAATAACTGTATATACTGTACAAGGATGGCCAACAAAAGAAATCTGAATTTTATCATTAAGACTTGTATATTGCAGGTCTGGCCCATTCTGAAATATGCAGTACAAGCACAGAGTTCTTATTTTACTAAACACAAAACAAAGCTAGAGAAAGTCCAGAAATATGTAATTAGACTACTACTAGAGTTGAGAGGAAAGAGTTATGAGGAAAGTAAAGGAATTAAACCTCACATCATTGGAAGACAAGTATAAGAGGAGACATGACTACAACATAAAATTCTCAGGAAAATTGACAGGGCAAACAAGGACATTACTATACAGAATGGGTGGTACATGACCAAGGAAGCACAGACGGAAACGAAGTATTCAAATTAGACATTAAAAAAGTTCAGTTTTATTATGCCAGAATAAGAAACATGAAATGTACTATAAAATGAAGTAGAAAAGACAGACTCCACACAGCTTCATATTTAGACACGACACAATAATTGGCTCAGGAACCTATATAGCAATTGACAAAGTCAAGAAGCAGAACCAAAGAGCCAAAACTCAACCAACATAAGCACACTTGAGTGCTCCTGTCCCAATCAACCCTAGCCACCAGCCTACCATGTTTCCATGTAATGACAACCCAACTAACACCAGCCCCCATTCATTCCTACCTCACCCACTCTCTTTCCCAATTACACTGTTCCACCCACCCCCTTCGTGCCCCAAGTTTGACGCCTGCCTAGTTGTGCATGTGGAGGCTGAGCTTCAGCTTTCTGGCCTTGTCTCTCATCTAGGTTTTAGTAGGATATCTTCAATGTGTTGCACCATATTTTGTACTTTGCAGGAATGGATCAACTCTTCTAAAACACTCACGGTTCTATTCAAAGTTTCAAACTCAACATGGAGGTAACGTAAGGCATCGTGCCCTGGTCTACTCCAAGACCTAGAAGCTATGCAAAACGGCTATAGATATTTTATTTTTGTGTTATGAATCAGTAATCACTGCTGGGGAGTCCATTTAACATATGCAGTTGATGAGTCACAATAACGTGGCTGAAATATGTTGACTAAACCACACACACTAGAAATTGAAGAGACAAGATTTGAAGAGACTAAGATTTCCATCTCCTCACCTCTCTCTCTCTTTCTTGCCTACTTAATGCCCTAGCCTCCCTCGTCTCATCACAATCGACTTGATAATGGTCCAGAATGGACTGAAACATCATCATCTCTTCAATTTCTAGTGTGTGGTTTGGTCAACATTTAACAGTATCATTTATTGGACTCCACAGGAATAGTTGTGTAATGATGATAATTAGTGTTAATAATTTACTTTATCATTGTTAACATTCATTGTTGACATTGACTGTTAAAACTTGTACAGTGATCTACTTAGAACTACAAATAACTGATATCAATAGGAATGATATTCACAAATATACTACTCTAAGGGACTCCCTTTGAGTGAACACAACAAAAGGAGTAATTTGGCAATACATAAGCAGTAACTTTAACTTAAACAGAATTATTTGTATGCTTAAGATGCAGTTCAAGTAGACAGTGGACCACAGGCTGCACACAGAAGAATGACAGGCTGCATGTTTGACACCTGCCTCTAATATAAGTAAGATTACTTTATTGTGTAATCAAAAGTTTTATTAATGGTGTAACTGTGTGTAGCCCACCAACCCTGATTCTTGTCTTGACAATCGAAACTTAACAATGTGATCATTTATGTAGGCTCTTAAGAAAAACCTACCTTAGATGAGTCTTGTAATATTAGTTTGGAGTCTTTAACCAAGCACTGTAGGGCAATAGTCACATCAACTACCTCAGGTGAGCCGCATTCCTCCTGCTCACCCTCCACCACTAGCTGTCCGTACCATGCTCTGACACAGGAGATAATGTTATGGCATTCTTATCCATCATTACAAATACAATAATAATAATAATAATAATAGCCCATTTATTAATAATAATAATTATTATTATTATTAAAAATTGCACATAGCACACATTTTGTCTGAAATATATACAAGGTAACCACTCATTTGCTGTTATTAAAAGTTTAGTGTCTCCTCGATGGCTGCCCTAAATATTCAGACACTAGATGGTGATGTTGCCAAAAATGGTCCACATTTTTTTTATTAGGACAGTGAGGGACTCAGAATTTTTTTCAAGATGGAGGAAGGTTAATGGAGGCCTCAGAAAGCAAATGGGAGCCCTCTGTATGTGCAGGACTATTTTAAATATTTGATATATCTAATTCATATATATATATGATATACTGTATATGAATTCCAAGTACATCCAGGCAGTTAGACCAAAATCAATATTATATTATATAATAATATAAAAAACTGGAATTGCTGGTGAGCCAGAAGGGTTTCAATCCCAATTAGTCCACTTCAGCTTTGCACCACTGTACAGATTTTGTTAATACTGTACCTACAACCTACTTTCATTATATTTTTTCCCAATTTTTTTTCTAAGCCGAAGCCTCCACACTCCACAAAAGTGGGGAAATGGTACTGTATTATGATAATTAAAATAATAATAATAATAATAATAATAATAATAATAATAATAATAATAATAATAAAAATGAAAGTACCTGTAGTATGAAAAGTTAACAGCAAGTGAAGAAATACTGTTCAGTGATTGATAAAAGAGCATGTAATATTATTCTGCTAATATTTAAACTATAACAGTACTGTAATATTACATTTTTAAAACAAAAAATATTATTAAAATGTAAGTACTGTACTACTCAATAATAAAACCTTTAGGCAAACATCATCCTATGAATAAGAATGTAGTATCATTACAAGGCCAATATAAATCTTTCCGCAACATCCAAGGTGCATATTGTCATAAGTTCTACTCATGTTCACTAAACAGGAGTCTGATTTAGATGTAGCTTTTCAATCTTTTATTGTTATGGGGGTAAACAAATCTATATTTTTGTAAAGTCAATAAATTATGGTTCTGTTCATAATATTTAAATATTTGAATTAAGAAACCTTCCTAAATATTTACATTAATACATATTTAAAATAAATAAATAAATTGTACAAGTGGTAAACACTTACTGTAGTATGACAAGACCTTTACGTGCCTCTTCCTGATCAACTATTCTTCTCACCGTTTCTCGCATCAGGTCCACAGCTGCCATGGCCTCTCGACGCTTCTCTAATAATCTTGATTTATAATAAGTCAACATATATATCTTGCTCACTTTTTACAATAAGACATTTGTTACTTTTTGTTCAAGATGTTTCAATATAAGCACAAAAAGTTTAGAGCATAGTGAAACACTTCTTCCCAAGCCAGCCACTCGGTTAATTCCCAAGCCAGAGCCTTATTCTTTATTCTTCCAACTGGAACCTAAGAGAAGGGGAACTCTCACTGTGAAGTGCTACTAAATTGCACAGGGGTCCAGAAAGGAGAGACTCTAGTGGGGGACCCCACAATTGTAACTCTACTACCTAGAAAGGGGTGCACAAAACAAATAGGCTCTAGTCAACTTGTTACCCAATCATGACAATGCTCTTTACAAATGGTCTTATCATGTAGCTGGCGAGAGGCGCCAATCTCAATCCTCCACCAAGCAACTACTTGCAATTAAAAAAACAAAATAAACCAGTACACAATAACCCATAAGCAATCATTGCAATTGTGAGGGAAACAAATAATTTGCTAACTAATGGTTGTTAACTAGCTGCTATTCCAACTGCTATTAGATGGTAGCATGGGCCATAATAGAATCTGTGAAATAGGTAGACCTCACTTGAAGATCAGAAATTCAAGCACACATAGAGAAGATGGGAAAAAAAGTAGGGGAATAGAAATAACCAAGGTAAAGGCATTTAAAGGAGCATTTCATTATGATCTACACTTTTCTGAGAAAGGGCCCCCCCCCCTTCCTTTGTTGCTTCTCAAGTCACCTACAAAAGGAAGACCACTATCACAAGGGAGCCCCTAAGGAGGGAAAGTTTACCAGAGCCAAAAGAATGGCACCAGATGGAGCCACAAGAAAGAGGAGAACCAAATCACTTGGATCCCATAGGCACCCCTGGGCTGACAAGCATCCCAAGGTCACACCTGCAGGGGAAGAGGGCATAATTTCCTAGGAAGGTTTGTGGTGGAGGGGCTATTCATCTCAAGACACCAACAGCCAACAACACAAAATGAAAAAGCTGCACACACTGCCTGTGAAAGCACAGAAAAGACCCCCTACTTAACAGAGAGAGTCCTGTTTGACAAAGCTAATAGCTGGAAAACAGGAGCAGCCCAAGAAAAAATAAGGAAAAGCTTGCCAACCAAGGGAAGGCAGGGACCAGAAAGAGAAGGGCCCAGACCAGACAGACAGTACCTAACTCAATAGGAACAACACCAGTCTGTCTGATATGAGAAGGATATGATCAAGGAGTATGTGAGGAACACAACACAACACAACACCAACACAAAGTGACAAGCTGATCCCTAGGAAACACTGAAGCAATACTTATACTGGAAACGGGGAACTGCACAACTCCAACCCCAAAAAATAAGGTCACATGACTGGGTTTGCTTTACTCCTAGGCAGCAAAATGGAACCATGAAATCTCAGAAAAAAATCCTTGGGTATGTCACCCAATACTCTTAGACAGGCCAGCCCTGAAAGCATAACTGAACAAGACCCCCAATACCTCAAAGGAAGGAAAAACACACACTTTCAGCATAGACGGAGGAGGCTGAATGTACCACAATGGATCATATGCCTTCAGACAAAACCCAAATGGGGAAGTCACCAAAGCTCAAGTGACCAGCCCTGGACTACATGTGCACACACTAAAAATCTGAGAGCCAGAAGCAGAGAAGAGATCCTGGAAACCCAACACCATCCACAACAAGAAAAACATATGATGAAAACTTTAATATTGAGAGTGGTAATTAGAGTACTGGGTATAAATGACTAGGATATAAGACAAAGAGTTAGAACTCACTCCCCCATAGTCAGTCATAGATAAGCACCGACAGGCAAGCACCACAGAGGCCAGCCATGGCAGGACCCACAGGAGGAACACAGATAAGAGAAGCCCATTTCAAAGCCCATATGCAATGATAAGTGCACAAGCCCTGAAAGAAGGCACACCCAACTATGGACACACACACACAAGTACAATGGAGGTCACAGTAGACATCTGGGATAAACCCCAACATTCCATCCAGCAATTTAAGGTGAACATGGCAGTAACAGGTGCCAAAGACCAGTCTTCATACATTACCACACCAACCAGCAGAGCCACAAGTCAGTGCTTGGGGTATAATATACAGGGGTACAAGGATGGTAGTCAGGGGGCATGAATACAAGTCATGGGTATGCAGTATAAGACAGGTGTGCCCCTAAGTAATACAGAGCACCAAGGAGGATGACACCACTGAAGTACAAGCGGGGGACTTTGAAAAACCAAGAATTAACAGAAAGTGTAAAGGCTTCAGAGTAACCAAAGGCAGGTGCCTAAGCCAGAAAAATACCAACTGGAGCCTAAGAGAAGGGGAACTCTCACTGTGCAGTGCTACTAAATTGTACAGGGGTCCAGAGAGTAGAGGCTCCAGTGGGGGACCCCACATTTGTAACTTCACTACCTAGAAAGGGGGTGCAACCATCAGTGGCAGTCAAGTGGGAGTATTTCAAGTGAGAGGAGCTCCAAATAGTGCAGTCTGGAGACCAGCACCAATTTTATGCAAGATGACCCAGATAGGCACAGAGCTCTAGGGCCATGCATCTGGCAACTGCCTCTTTCCCTGGAATTTCTCAAAAAAACTATTTAAAGCCGCCAAATTTTCTAAACCAGGCCAAAAGTCCTAAGACAAACTTGGCAGCAAGAAGCTTGCACTTGCTGTACACTAACCAAATCAAATCACAAAATGGATGGAGCAAATACTATGGACAAACTTTTTTCTTTTTTATTGGAGAAAACTATGGGGGCAAACACAAAAACAAAGGTCATATTTACACCCCTTTAAGCTATACTTAGTTAAGAGGCACTGCCAAGGAGTGATACAAATCAAGAGGAGTGAAATTAACCAGTTAAAACACACACAGATCAGCATCAAGGAAAAGAACTCTGAAAGTTTATGATCACTGACAATTAGTCAGGGATGACAGCCCTGAAACCAAGCTGAAGTAGATAAAAATAGCCAGATACATGTGAATGAAAGAGTTACCATATAGTGACTTGAACACTTAAAAAATAGCAACCCCAATACAGAGACAAACATCTCAAGAAACATCCAACTACACTTAATTTTGCCCCTGGAGAGATGAGGTTGACAATAAGGCAATAAGTGAGGTCTCCATGCTCCCCCCCAAAAAGGTCATTTTTTTTATACCAATAATAATAAAAAAAAAATTATATTATTTTGTATAGGGTAGGATGGAAGGCTGTTGTTGATGCTGTGGGTGTGAAGCAAATTATATTTTGAATTATCATTTCAATCATAGCCTTTGGGACTTTTTTTTTTTTTTTGTCTGAGTACTCTATGGGCAGCTCCCTATTACTCGGCCAGCCACACCCAAACTAAACCACAAATATTTGATATTCAGTACCTTCCTCCCTTGGGTAAAAGTGACCATGTCTTTTTGGGAATAAAGTATGCAATGCATTATAATCTGGAAGAAAATAAGGAGGTTGAAGCAGTTGAAAAACCTGACTTCAGGAGAGGACATTATGGCGACCTTAGAAAAAAATTTTAGTGAGTATAATTGGACAGTCTTGTTGCTAGGGAAGGAAGTGAATGAGATGTATGTCAAGTTTTGTGAAATATATGATAAAGGCACAAAAAAATTTATACCAAAACAGAGATGCAGAACTAGGAAACAGGATTGGTTCAATAGAAATTGTGAGAGGGCCAGAAACCAAAGGACACAAAAATGGAATCAATACAGGAAGAGGCCAAACCCCCAAACATACCAGCGATACAAAGATGCGAGAAACAACTACACGACAGTGAAGAGAGAGAGGCAGAAAGAAATTTTGAAAAAGGGATTGCAGACAAATGTAAAACAGAACCAGGTCTATTCTATAAATTCATAAACAACAAATTGCAGGTAAAAGATAATATTCAGAGGTTGAAAATGGGAAATAGATTCACGGAAAATGAAAAGGAAATGTGTGAAACATTAAAAGAAAAGTTCCAAAGTGTGTTTGTACAAAATGAAATCTTCAGGGAACCAGACACAATAAGAATTCCAGAGAACAACATAGAGCACATAGAGGTGTCTAGAGACGAAGTGAAAAAAATGCTCAAGGAGCTAAGCAAGAACAAAGCAGTTGGTTCAGATGGAGTTTCACCATGGGTTCTGAGAGAATGTGCACCTGAGCTCAGCATTCCAATTCAACTGATTTTTCAGGTATCCCTGTTTACAGGAGTTGTAGCTGATGTGTGGGAAAAAGGCTTACATAGTTCCAATCTACAAAAGTGGAAGCAGGGAAGACCCCCTTAATTATAGACCTGTATCATTGACAAGTGTAAAAGTTGAAATATTGGAAAAAATAATTAAAACTAAATGGGTAAAACACCTGGAGAAAAACGATATAATATCAGACAGACAATATGGTTTTCGATCTGGAAGATCCTGTGTAACGAACTTACTCATTTTTTATGATCGAGCCACAGAGATTTTACAGAAAAAGAGATGGTTGGGTTGACTGCATCTATCCGGACCTAAAAAAGGCTTTCGACAGAGTTCCCCATAAGAGGTTGCTCTGGTAACTGGAACATATTGGAAGGGTGACAGGTAAGCTAACATGGATGAAAAATTTCCTGACAGAAAAATGAGGGCCGTAATCAGAGGCAAGGTATCGGATTGGAGGAATGTCATGAGTGGAGTACCACAGGGTTCAGTTCTTGCACCGGTAATGTTCATTGTCTACATAAACGATCTACCAGTGGGAATACAGAATTATATGAACATGTTTGCTGATGATGCTAAGATAATAGGGAAGATAAGAAACCTAGATGATTGTCATGCCCTTCAAGAAGACCTGGACAAAATAAGTATATGGAGCAACACTTGGCAAATGGAATTTAATGTGAATAAATGCCATGTTATGGAATGTGGAATTGGAGAACATAGACCCCACACAACTTATAAATTATGTGAGAAATCTTTAAAGAATTCTGACAAAGAAAGGGATCTAGGGGTGGTTCTAGATAGAAAACTGTCACCTGAGGACCACATTAAGAACATTGTGTGAGGAGCCTATGCTACACTTTCTAACTTCAGAATTGCTTATAAATACATAGGTGGAGAAATACTAAAGAAATTGTTCACGACTTTTGTTAGGCCAAAGCTGGAATATGCAGCGGTTGTATGGTGCCCATATCTTAAGAAGCACATCAACAAACTGGAAAAGGTGCAACGACATGCCACTAAGTGGCTCCCAGAACTGAAGGACAAGAGCTACGAGGACAGGTTAGAGGCATTAAATATGCCAAAACTAGACGACAGAAGAAAAAGAGGCGATATGATCACTACGTTCAAAATAGTAACAGGAATTGATAAAATTGATAGGGAAGAATTCCTGAGACCTGGAACTTCAAGAACAAGAGGTCATAGATTTAAACTAACGAAACAAAGCTGCCGGAGAAATATAAGAAAATTCACTTTTGTAAACAAAGTGGTAGACGGTTGGAACAAGTTAGGTGAGAAGGTGGTGGAGGCCAAGACCATCAGTAATTTCAAAGCGTTATATGACAAAGAGTGCTGGAAAGACGGGACACCACGAGCGTAGCTCTCATCCTGTAACTACACTTAGATAATTACATAGAAATGCTTGCTTCTTTCTCCTAAAACTTGCCATCATTTTCTCTATAAAAGCAGAAAACCATTTTAAAAAATGTTATCAATTGCAGACAGTGAGGAAGACGTGTCATAACAATAACGTCGTGGAAGGGTCAACAGTGACGAGTGGTTTTCCTTAGCATTCCAATAATGTGTTGCATGGAGTGTTCAAGTCACTGATCTGTTCTTTATTATGATATCATGCAGTTGCCTGGCGATGCATCGAGATATTCTTTACCTCAGCCTCTCCAGAATTATGCAACAAGACCATTACAAAGACACTTGCCATCATGGGGTAATAAGGTGACTAGTGCATGTATATTATATCCTGGCTGGACAAAGAGGCTCTGGCTGGGGATGTAATCCAGGAAACCAAGCAAAGGAAAATAGTGTAAATTATGCTCAAATATACAAAAGACTAAATTATTTAAAGTTAGCAATAAATTAATAATATAAGCAGCAGAATAATTAATCCCTAACAAGTAATTAATCATAACAGTACATTAGCAAAGCTAAATGAATAATAAACTATGTGCATGTGCAAAGTTTTTTGTCAAAATACAGAAATAATTAAATTGGGATGATAACGTAGAGCAACTATCACAAACACCACTTCCTAATTATAAAGTTCTTTGGTTCATTTTATACACAACACAAAACAGAAAATAAAATTTAGTAGTTATTTACCTGCTTCTGTTTGATTCTCGCTGCTTAAACAGATCAGCCTGTTTTTGTTTCCTCAGATAGGGATGAATTATGAGCTTTTGTATGGCTAACCAACTCATAAGAGGTACCAGTGTTCCATATATTATTGGTGCTGGCATAATTTCCTCGCACAGCATTATAGTAGCCGCATACGTCTGAGATGCCCGATGTAGCCTGCGATCAATAGTTAAAACAAGCAATACATAATGGATTTATACTAGTGAACATACTAGTGAATTTATTTAAACAAGTTGGTATTCCTGCGAGGCTACTCAATTTGGAGACAGGATAAAGTAAATAGGAAATGTGGAGGTGTTGCTGATCTGGTGAAAGAATAACTAAAGGTAGATAAATTAATACTAAAAAACTCACAAAAATAGGATAAAAACCCACACTTGTGCATTTGTGAAATTTATGTAAGGAATTTACACCAAGTCTTTACGCCAAGGAATTTATGCCAAGACTGTGTGCTTTGTCAAGCTTCGAATGTGTGATTAGGACAAGACTTAGACATTGAGATTTAAGTCTTGTCCAAATCACAAACTCAGACCTTGACAAAGCACTCAGGAGAGTGCAAAAGACTTCCTTGCATAAATTTCACAAAAAACACAAGTGTGGGTTTTTACCCTATGTTATTATGTCTGTGAGAAGACATAACCAATATTAATTCACAAAATGTTGACAATGTCATTGGAGATCTGTAATCAGGTTAATAAGTTGATAATCATTACTGCTTAGAGTCCACCAGGAAAGAAAGCAGCGACATGACAAATAAGAGGGTCTTATAATGACCACAAGAAAGATTTAGTGAGAATAGACAAAGTTAATTCATGATTGTTGGTACAGTACTTGGTTACTTGGAGTTCAACACGAGCAAATGTAAAGTGATGGAAATGGGATTAGATAGGAGGCTAAAGGGACAGTACACAATGAAGAGAAACTACCTACCTGTGACAATTCGAGAAAGAGACCCGGGTGTGGGGAATGGGGGCACAATTGAGTGGACAGAACTCTGGGGTTGTAGTTCTAAGGGCCCAGGTTCAATCCCCAGCAGAGGCAGAAACAAATGGGCAGAGTTTCTTTCACCCTGATGCCGCTGTTCATCTAGCAGTATATAGGTATCTGGGGGTTAGATAGCTGCCACTGGCTGTTTCCTGGGGATGTGTATGTGTGTGTGTGTGTGTGTGTGTGTTGTAGAGAAATATATGTAGTAGACATAATAGAGGAAAAATAAATTAGTTAGAAAGGCAGGGTCCAAGAGCTAATAGCTTGATTTTTCAGATACAAATAGTAAATACAAATAGAGTAGTATATTCACACACAAAGGAGGCACTAGATGACAAAGGAGAGGGCCTCATAATGGTCATGAGAGAGATTATAGTCAAATCAGAAAAGATAAATCACGATTGTTGGTACTGGAGGACTTCAACTTGACAGCATTAGTCTGGGAGGCCTACGAAGCAAGAATGGAGAACATTTGGACAGGCAGATTTGTAAACCTCATTCTGGAGACATTTGTGTATCAACACGTCAAGCAGGCCACCAGAATGAGGGAAGGGGATGTTCCATCAATACTGGATCTAATATTCACCAGGAAAGAAGAGATTTGACATCTAGTACCCTTCACTCTCATTCTTTTCCTTGGGAAGGTGTGATCACGTCCTGCTGGAAATTAAATATTATTTGCGATATAATCTAGAAACAGACATTGAAATAGTTGGAAAACTCTATTTCAATAGAGGACACTACCGGGAACTTGGAAAATTCTTTAATGAGTTTAATTGGACAGACTTGTTGCTAGGTAAAGAGGTAAATGAGATGTATGCCAAATTTTGTGAAATATACGATGAAGGTACACAAACATTCATACCAAAACGGAGATGCAGGACCAGAAAACAGGATTGGTTCAACAGAAATTGTGAGAGAGCCAGATAGGAAAAGACAAGAATATGGGTTCAATATAGGAATATACTTAGCCTCCAAATATATCAGCACTACAAGCAAGCAAGAAACAATTACACAGCAGTGAGGAGAGAAGCAGAAAGGAACTTTGAGAAAGGTATAGCGCACAAATGTAAAACAGATCAAGGCCATTTCTATAAATTCATTAAACCAAGCTACATGTAAATGATAAAATCCAGAGATTGAGATCGGAGAACAGGACTACTGAGAATGAAAAAGAAATTGAGACACTAAATGAACAGTTCCATAGTGTGTTTGTATAAAATGAGGATTTCAGAGAGCTGGACCAAATGCCAATTCCCAAGCACACCATAGAGATTTCCCAAGATAAAGTTGAAAAATTACTCAAGGGGCTAGGAAGAAATAAAACAGTTGGACCTCATGGAGTTTCACCTTGGGTGCTGCAAGAATGTGCAACTGAACTGAGCATTTCACTCCAAGTAATATTCAAGACATCCTTCTGCACAGGAATCTTAGCAAATATATGGAAAAAGGTAAACATACTACAATCTATAAAAATGGTAGTCGAGAGGAACCCCTATATTATAGATACAGATCACTAACAAGTGTGGTAGACAAAACACTAGAAACAATAGTTAAAGCAAAATGGATTGAACACCTGAAGAGTAATGACATAATAACACGGACAGTCGGTATGGTTTTTGAACAAGACGTTCCTGTGTAACAAATCTACTTAGTTTTTATGAGAGCCACAGAAATAATACAGGAAAGAGGTGGCTGGATTGACAATGTCTATTTGGACCTAAACAAGGCTTTTGACAGAATCCCACACAAGAGGCTGTTTTGGAAACTGGAACATGCTGGAGGGGTGACGGGAAGACTTCTGATATGGATGAAAAATTTTCTAACTGACAGACAGATGAAGGCGATATCAGACAATGTATCTGACTGGAGGAGTATTACTAGTGGAGTACCACAGGGTTCACTTCTTGCTCCAATAATGTTCATCGTCTACATAAACGATCTACCAGAAGGAATACAGAATTATATAAACATGTTTGCGGATGATGCTAAGATACTGGGGAAGATAGGAGATGCAGACAATTGTAATGCCCTTCAAATCAATCTAGATAAAATAAGTGCTTGGAGTGTCAAGTGACAAGTGGAATTCAATGTGAATAAATGGTATGTTATGGAATGTGGAATCTGAGAAAATAGACCACACACAACTTACAAATTATGTGGAAAGGAATTACAGAACTCTAATAAAGAACGAGACCTAGGGATGGTTTTAGATAGTATGTTGTTGCCAGAGGAACACAAAGAACATTGTGAGAGGAGCGTATGTGTCTCTTTGCAACTTCAGACTTGCTTTTAATTTACATGGATGGTGAAATACTGGAGAAATTTCATGAACTTTGCCAGATCAAAATTGGAATATGTGGGAGTTGTATGGTTATCTTCTTGAGATGAGGTTATCTTGAGATGATTTCGGGGCTTTAGTGTCCCCGCGGCCCGGTCCTCGACCAGGCCTCCACCCCCAGGAAGCAGCCCGTGACAGCTGACTAACTTCCAGGTACCTATTTACTGCTAGGTAACAGTGTATGGTGCCCATATCTCAAAAAGCTCATCAATAACTGGAAAAGCTGCAAAGGCATGCTACAAAAATGGCTTCCGGAATTGAAAAACAAGAGTTACAAGGTGAGGCTAGAGGCATTAAATATGCCTAAACTAGAAGATAGAAGAAAAAGAGGTGATATGATCACAACTTACAAAATAATAACAGGAATGGACCAAATTGACAAGAGAAATTCCTGAAACCAGCAACTTCATGAACAGGGGGATTCTGATTCAAGCTAAGGAAACAAAGGTGCTGAAAAAATAATAGAAAGATTTCTTTTGCAAAAATTGGTAGATGGTTGGAACAAGCCAAGTGAAGTGGTGGTGGAGGCCAAAACCGTCAGTAGTTTCAAAGCATTATATGACAGAGTATTGGGAAGATGGGACACCACGAGCATAGCTCTCATCTTGTAACTACACTTAGGTAATTATAATAGAACAGGAAACAAAAGTGCCAAAAAGATATTAAAAATTTTATTTTGCAATCAGAGTGGTAGACGATTGGAACAAGTGAGAAAGTGGTCAAGACCAAAAACCGTCAGCAGTTTCAAAGTTTTATATGACAAAGAATGCTGGGAAGAAAGGACACCACAAGCATAGCTCTCATCCAGTAACTACACATAGGTAATTACACACACACACACATGCCAATAACTTAAGAATACCTACTTTATTTTGAGTTGAACACCTGTGGGCACACCAAGTGCTAGAGATGCAGCAAGAGAGCTGTTTTGAGAAACTTTCTTTTCTGCTCCATACTCTAATATCGCTCCAAATGTGCCAGCCCTGGAAATGAAATCCAAGATAGAAATTAGAACACTGAGTTAATGGCAATTGCACAAATTAAAAGCAAGGAATTTAATGCATATACCTATTTACATTTAATTTTTTAATTTTTTTTAGAAAATTGAGGGAGAAATCAGGCAAAGACATGCAAGAAGGATTGTAAGATGTAGCTGAATGATATTTATTAACTTGGTAAAAGTACATGACACAGTAAAACCTGGACAGTTTATTTAGAGTTATGATTATACTTATGATCGTATGTGTAGTTCACGGAATATTATTATCCTTTAAAGTGCAGTTCTTGTCATACGTTGTTCCACAGAGGAATGCAGTTATAATTATAAGTTGATTTTACTTATCACCCACTTTTGTACAAGTGTGAATGTTTATATTATGTTTATATTACATATATGTTGAATACAATGGAGTTAACCTAGATCCATTAAATAAATCATCTGTCCATTTCTAATTGCTTACATGTAATAAGGTTATCCGGTACTGTGGCCAGCAATTATCATCAAATCCCAATTTGGTCTTTCATGCCAGTGTTTGAATCTACTGTATTTCTGAATGACCTTCCCAGACAGAATAGCAGCATATGAGTGTATCATGTGTATAAGCAAGCTGTGTCAAGATCTGTGTGCAATATAGGTATATAGTACTTATTTTATTGTAGGCCTATGCACAGTACTCGATCACTTGTCAATTATACATAAATTGAGTTATTCCCCACACATTGTTGTTTCACTTTAGTTTACACTAACAAAAATAATCTAATTTGAATATCAGACCCCTCACCCCTACGTGATGAGTTAGCAAACTGGGTATCATGTATCATTGGACCCGATGACTTCCCACCCAGTTATCTCCTGATGAGCACAAAACCAGAAAAAAGACTGAGGTATTTATGTGTTTTAAATATTTCCTTAATTTTTGCATGCAATATATAACAGTATAACAAATAACTATTTTGATTTTTTCACACAGGCAGAGTTAAATACTGTTAAGAACTTATTTACAAAGTTTGCCATGTGTTAATATAATAATATATTGAGTGATGGGTTAGAAATTAATTTAGTACATCACACCTGCATAAAGTCTCCATGGTTAAATGACGTATCATGATGTATAAATTAAGTGTCATGATGTAATGAAACATCTTTTTCTGGTGGGTCACTCAATAGCTCCTCACAGATGGCACTAGACAACAACCTAGATTACCCTGTGGTCGACCACCTTATCCATGCGCTGCTGATCTGGAACATGTCCAACAACCACATGAAAGAAGGAAATAAGAGAAGATGGGGAGCTACTGAGCAGCCCCACCAAAAGGGTCTTTTCAATTCATTCAACACTTGATATCACAGAGGCCATCTCTCCCACAACACCTCAACAAAGCAAGTTGGCTTTTCTGAGAGGAAAACAAAGAATAATAAAACAGAAGGGTGAGCACTAAATACTTGCCATGAACATTTTGGCAAATAAAACCATGACAGGAAACTTTCACATATCATAAGTTGGGAAAAACAGTCAATTGGCTAAACTGAATCAACCTCTAGCTGATCAAATGAGAGAGCGCCCCAAGAAGCAAGGAACGTGAGAGGCAAGGTTGACAAACAGCAATGACCCACACAGCACAAGTAGCATACAAATAATACTGCACTGTTGACCACAGGGCAGAGTGTATGAAGCGCCCTTGGCTGGACAAACCAGGTATTGAAGGAGATAAAAATTAAAATCCAGGTCTGAAGAAACAAACTTTGCCTCCAGAGAAGATCATGAAACTCCGTAGCCTGCCAGCCATTAGAAAGAGCCATCATAAAAAATGGAACCTCCACTAAGGGAGTAACATGCAAGCCCAAGATGATATATAAAAGGGCTCACGAACACATTAAGCATACCTGGAGAGGGTCTCACGAGTTCTACTCCCTGAGCCCGGTCTGGGGCCAGGCTCGACAATTAGTAACAAGCAGCAGCACGAGTGACCATCAATGACTAAAAACACATTCATACTCAGGAAAGTTGCACACACCTGTGCCAGCCCCAGGGACGAGGGATATCTACCAGCTAGACATACACAAATGAGCAAGTAGACCAGGCAAATGATGTGTGTCTTGGCACAAACATCAACCCCTAACCTGAACTTTTCAGCAAGGAAAAGCATCTGCAGCCACAGGCAATACCAATACCCAACCCAAATGTACCTCTCAGTTTAGGCATCAATCACAAAGAGGACAGAACCTGGCATGACTGCCACACAAACGTACAGCTAACTACTCCCCTGCAACAGGCCTTGCTGTTGAGGGCAAACTAATGCTCCATGTAGCTCATAAATATCCTAGATAAGTTTGATGCTGAAACATTCTCTGAGCCCAATCTGATCATTTATATTACTTGATTCATATTAGGTCTTACCATGCTGGAAAAAAAAGAGAAGAAAATACACTAATGAGATAAAGAGTTATTACAAAGAACTTATAAAATGGAAAAGACTCGGAAGAAAAATTAAGATAACCTCGATACAATTTCAAGCAAAAAAGTAACCAATTAATAGATGAAGAGGCAGCTTAGTAGCAGGTGCTTGGCTGTGCAAGTACATCTAGGTGATTATACCACTTTCTCAAAACATTTTAATAATGTACTGTATATCAAATTAGAAAAATTAAAACCATTGTGTATACTTACTTTCCAGTTAGTTTTACTTTAGATTCCTGGTCTGGCATTTTGTGAGTATAAGAGAGGGCTGCATAGGTGTGTGGTATACCAATGTAAGCAGAAAATACAATATGCTGGGTGGGAGTATCACGTATAATCATTGTATTCATGCCGCTCTGCATCCCGGCCTTCCATGTTAGATATCCCACGGTGTGCTTGTCTAATTGGTTTGCCAGAGCTTTAAAAAGAACAAAAATTTTATTAAACATATTATATATATTTAGTATGTTTATGTATGTATATAAGTAAATGAATGTATGAGCAGTGTGTGTATGTGTAAAGTGAGTCTCTAATTAATAAAGTATGCTCATGGTGTTCCGTCTTCCCAATGCTCTATCATGACACTTTGAAAGTACTGTACTGATGATTTTGGCATTTACTGCCTTCCCTGGAAACACAAACTGAAACTGTCTCTATTTTCCGCTTGTTACAACTTGCAATAAAGTTGTTACATCTTGGCTTAACGTGTTTATGGCGTATTAGAACGTTGTTACAACTTGCTATATTGGTTGTTATAACTGGTTAGGAGGTGTTAAAACTTGTTCGAATGTTCTACCAACGTCGTAGTTTCAGTGTGTGTTTGGTGGGTTCGCACTTGACTTGTACCAACCGTCTACCACTATTTGCAAGGGAGAGCTTTCTAATACTTTTTTCCTTAGCTTGAATCTATGGCCTCTTGTTCTTAAAGTTATAAGTTTCAAGAATTCCTATGTCAATTTGTCAATTCCTGTTACTATTTTGTATATACTGTTCATATCACCTCATTTTTTTTCTATCTTCTAGCCTTAGCATATTTAAGATCTCTAGCCTCTCCTTATAGCTCTTGTTTCTTAGTTTGTTGCACACGAAACGTTGCTACCGAAAACCAAACTGCTAAACAGAACCCCCAAGTCTGAAAACAAGCAAACAAGCATGACGTCACACCCACCGCCGCGCTGCTTTTCTGCGCAGCTCCTCCCCTCCCTGGGATGGGGACCTAGCGGGGGACCACCAAAATAACAGAGGGTGGACAATGGACCAAGGGGCAGAGGGTGGACCAAGGGGCAGACCCTTTCCCCACCAGGCAACAACAACAAAAAAAAAAAACGCACAATGTCTCCAGGAGGAACAGAACAGGCCGCTGTGATAATGGGAGACAAGCTGCACAGTACCTTGCGCCCCTACCAGCGACGATACTACCTCCTACCAAAGGTCAAACAGCGGCTATGAAAACCCCAGCTGACCCCAAGGGCGGGCAATCACCGAGCAGCTAAAGATCCCTACGGAGACAGTTCCTGGACGACTTGTGGAAGGTAACCTCCAAGCCGCAACGGCAGTACAGTCTTACAGGGCACCTAGGAAAGAAGGCCCTAGGTACATGCAGCCCAGTACTCCATGAATTACTCCTGGCTCGTACACCACCACACAGCAGAACCCCGCAAGGCACATCACTGCTCGGAGACAGGAGCCAGAGTCAAACGACCGCCTTGATTGGCAGTCGAGAGGTGGGACCAAAGAGCCAATGCTCAACCCCCACAAGCACAATAGGTGAGTACATCAGCCTCTGAACCGGGGTTGGATGGCTGGCACAGGGGTCTGGGATTCCCCCTTCCCCCCTGCCGGGGAGGGAGGAACTGCGCAAACAAGCGGCGCGGCAGCATGTGTGACATCATGCGTGTTTGCTTGTTTTCAGAATGGGGAGTTCTGCCTAGCAGTTCAGTTTTTGGTAGCAATGCTTCACCAGTTGGGGTCTGTTTTGGGATGCCTACCTCTCTGGATGCCTAACCCAGTAGATTGCAAACATAGAATGCTTCCAACCACGTGGGGGTTTTTATAGGCCATTGCTCCTCATGCCTCTCTGAGGGGACCAGGTTCTGGCTCGTGGTCCCCCGGTAGGCTAGCACTCTATTTCAATTGACTGATGCCATGGTCTATTACATATATATCAGCCCGGCATAGCTCCGGGGAGCCAGAGAGACACGCCACAGAAACATTGTTTTATTGTTTTGAGAATGTAATAATTGCATCACTAATATACACACCATATTTTTGAGTATAGCAATGGCCCACACATTATATTAATTTATCACAACACACTTTTAAATATCACTGCAAAAAAAAAATAATAAAAAAAAAATTATTAATATCAAAATACTGTAATAATTATTTATTGAAATAATTAAGTAATATCTTTGTGGCAACTCCCGCCACACGGTTTGAATGCCGCAGACCGACCCAGGCAAATACTAGTACTCTGTTAGCATCTGTATCATACCAAACTTCCTCGCCCCATCACCGCCAAAGTATGTCGCATACAATTATTTTTTTCCCGTAATCAGGGAACACATTTTAACAAAATTAGAAGGAAAATTTTTGTTTTCTTGCACGCCGGTGAGTTGTCAGGTATTAACAGTTACACAGCCCAGGAATTAGGCTATTAGGTATGACAGGCTACATATATGAATACATAATCTTTAAGCCATTATCTTCAGATATAAACAAGTCAATTATCAGCAATCACTTAAAAACCTATAATTCATTAACATTTAATATCATAAACGAAGAGATACTTACTTGCAACCGTGCCTACACGAAGCCCATTGGGGGTGAAATGGGTAAGAATTGAGCCATTTCCAAACGTACCACGTGAGAAGTTTCTAAAGCCTTTAGTTGCCAAGGTTAAACCATTTCCTGCTCCAACTTCCACCTCGCCCCAACCTTTTTCAGATGTTATCCTTCGAATTGAAAAATTAATGCCACCACTCCCATTACCATTGTGTGATGACAGATTGCCTTGTGAACAAGAAACACTTCATTACTACATGGTACATGCTTAACAAACATGAACAATTCTGATTTCTTATTATCCATTTCAGTCAAAAATGCCAAGTAAACTATTCAAATAACTGTGCTAGAGAATTTAAGTGCAGCATATTGCTTTAACAAAATGATAATTATATGACCACAAATATCTTGAGAAAATGTACTACAAATATTGTATATTAAATACAGTATACAGTGGCGCCTCGATTAACGAGTTTAATCCGTTCCGGTACCGAGCTCGTCATGTGGAAAACTCGTCTTGTGAAACAACAAAACTGTCGTAAGTGGTGTCCGAGAACCAATGGGAACGCTCGTTAATCGAGGGAAAGCTCATCAGTCGAGACATTTTCTGCGAGTGGCTTGCTCGTAACTGGAGCCGCTCGTCACTCGAGGTTCCACTGTATTATCAATATACTGTACTTATAAATATATAAAGGGAAGAAAATTTTCCTATATCTCTCTGGCATATCTTCATGTTCAGCCCATCAAATGCCAAACCTCTCCACTTGCAAGAAAATCTGTAGGAGCCTTGAAGAGGATTCGAACCCGCTCACTTGGTACTTCCAAGCTAGCGCCCTAGATCACTACACAACAACATGGGCCTGGATTCCTGGATGAGGTTCTGGGAGTTGTTCTATTTCCCAAGCCTGGCCGACTTGTGAGAGCTTGGTCCAACCTGCTGGCCACTCCAATATGGAGTGGCCAGCAAGCCCGCATATCCACCACAGACCGGTTAGTCTGGCACTTCTTTATGTCCACATTTGTTCCAGCAATATTTTATACTCACTGGGAGTATGTGGAACAACTGTGGACGTCTGATGTTTATACAGTGTTCTCTGTGCCTATGGCACCCCTGCTATTCAGAAGCAATGCAACCTGGGATTGGGCATTTGATGAGAAGTTTTGGAAGCCTGAATGTACGGGGGCAGCGTATGAAACCCCTGATTTGAGCTCCGGTTGGGGGCCTCAGGACTCCTAGTGGATTCAGCCGAATTCCAGGTTGCATTACTTTTGACCGTGCTTGCAGGGGTTGAGCTTTGGCTCTTTGGTCCTGCCTCTCAACTGTCAATCAACTGGTGTACAGATTCCCAAGCCCATCAGGCTCTCTACCACATCTACATTTGAAACTGTGTATGGAGTCTGCCGCCACCACATCACTGCCTAATGCATTCCATTGAACTATTCTGACACTGAAAACATTATTTCTAATGTCTCTGTGGCTCATTTAGGTACTCAGTTTGCAGCTGTCCCCCCATGTTCATGTTCCACCCATGCTAAATAGTTTGTCTTTGTCCACCCCTGTCAATTCCTCTGAGAATTTTGTAGGTGGTGACCACCGTGTCGTGGTGTAGTGGTCTAGGGTGCTAGCTTGGCAGTACCAAGGAAGCAGGTTCGAATCCTGAAAGCTCCTACTGATTTTCTCCTTGATACGTCAGGTTATTGTGATTTCATTGTGCACTCTCCACTTGCTCTTGCTTTACAATAAAAATATTGTTTTATTGTTATATTAATTAACCCTTAAGTCAAAATTTTACAGAGCTGAAGAAAAAGTAGCAGAAAGTTCAGATTAGAATGTAGCCACAGAAAAGCTCATCAAGGTAGTGCTTCCTTAAAAAATATAAAAGCGAATTGGTGTAACAATTACAAAATCACAGCCTTACATAAAATACACCTGTACAGTATATAAAAAAAATTAATCATGACCGACAGTTTTTTCTTTATAGGGAAAGGGGTTATATTATATCTATATACTGTACATGAATTTTCTTTGACTGAACAGCCCTACTTATAGTTGAGGAGAACATTAAGTAATCACCAATTTAAAAGGGTAGTAAAGACATAATATTTCCCCATTTACTTTATTTTATGCTACACTCCCACTCAACCACAACTGTGTGTACGTGCATTCTGAGGCAGTTCTCACATTTTCTAACTAACTTTAGTGACTGTTCCATTCAGTAATGGAGCAGACAAACCAACATGTGAAATACTTTAATGCCTCCAATGCATCAATCAAGTGCCTTAAATTATCAAATAGTGACAGAATAAGTATCTGGGAAAGGATTTACAATATGTCACACCTTCAGGAAACAAACATCTAAAAGAGGAAACAATATGAAACAAAATTGCACCCTAAACTAGATGAGGTACCTGGTGGTGCCAGTCTCTCTCTTCCCTTCCCCTCTCCGCTCCTTTCTCCCAATCTCACCCCTCTCCTCCCTCATCACTTCCCTCCGTCTCCTCCTCCCGTCTCCCAGTCTCCCCCCCCCCCTCCTCCTTCCCCTCCCAGTCTCATACAGAAAACACATCCCAGATTCAATTCCAGACTTCATAAAAATCACTGGGGTTCACGGGAGATGCTGATATGTCTTAAGGTTAAACTGAGGCTGACTAACTGGCACAAGACAATAACATACATCACCCCCTTCCCCCGAGTCTCTCTTACATATTGTGCTTTATCCTTTACAGAAAATACTTGAGCAAATATTTACCAGAAAGTATTGCAGTGTCCTTATTTGTTAATGGAGCCTCTATTGCTTGATTCAGAGCCATTCCACTAATTTCAATATGTGGTAACCCAAACAAATCCCTGAAATAAATGAGAATAACATGCACTTAAAATATTTCTTAATAATGTCAAACTGAATGCTATTCATTCATTATATTACTGTTTAGTACAATTTATGTAACATTCTAGCAACTTTAATTATTAATGTAAAGAGTGCAAATCCAAGAATTAATGCATGTGCCAGCAATATGTTACACTAACCTCAGGTCTAGAAAAGGAGAGTCGTCATCATAAACTGAAAAGAGATCAGTAGCATTGATTGTCATCGTTACTGAACTCTTAGGATTTGTTCTCTGCTGAAGCCGACGCTCTTCACGGTCACTGTACATTTAAAAAGAGAAAAATGCATTCCATAATACATAAAATATATAAATAAATAAAAAGATAGAACTAGCCCCAAAGTGACCAGCATATTAACATTCTTTATATTCATGTTAGAGACAGGTAAGAGGAACTTCATTGTTTCATCATAGCCACTCTTTTTGATGACATTTTCAAATCGCAGATAATGATACAGCTTATCCAAATAAAAATCTGTGATATAGGTAGGTATGGATATAGGAGGGTGCGTTGTGTAAGGGTTACCTATAAAAATTAACTCCGCACAAATGCATGATGCTAGATTCACTTAGGCCATGCATGATTTGAAGCAAACTCCTATTCAGATAGGTGAAAGGTTTAATGCAACAGATAGCAAGTCACAAGCATAATATTGCAGGGGTAGCATGATCGCCACATGTCTTGTGAGCAATACTGGCATGTTTTTGAGCCCTGCGATGGGAAGAGGCAATTGGTCACAGATCATTAAATTCAACAGCAATTGAGAACGTGGTTTACTGTAGGCCAATTGGCAGATCTTATTTCAGGAAAAACTTGGTAGTGTAAAGTTTAAGATAAAGTGTGGGAGAGAGAGAGCTTTAAGCCTCCTAAATGGAGGCAAAGTCATCTGCTCCTGTACCTACCTGTGCAAAATAAAAGTTGGAATTATCAGCCCAAATTTTAATAGTAACAATACTGAAAAACTATGCTAACCACTGATACATCATTAATAATTATACTGTATAAAGAAGAAAATAGAAGTACATATAGCTTATTACTTTAATACAAAAAACCAGCATTGAATGTAATGAAATGCTATTTTCTGGGTGAGCCCCGGAGGCTCCATGGAGATATCAGGCTATGCGAATCATTAGACTGGGGCATTAGTCTATGGAGTTCAGCCTATCAGAGACCACTAGCCAGAACCTGGCCTCCTTCAGAGAGGCACAGAGAGCAATGGCCCTGATAATGGCCAATTCCTTATCTGACATCGACCAGGGTTAGGTACCCAGAAAGATAGGCATAACAAAACAGAACCCACATGGTAAGAAAATCGCAACCAAAAACCAAACAGAGGCAGAACTCCCTCCAATCCCAAGTAAACAAGGAAATGTCACACCTTGTAGTCGCACCGCTCGTCCATGCAGCCCTCCCCATGCCCGAATATCAGCCCAAGACATGTTGCCAAACATGGCAGCCAATGCAGCAAACTTCCTAATGTCATGGGGACGAGGAAAGACCACACGCTGGCTAGACTTCATAACCCTGCAGACGACCTGGGAGACCCCGAGACCTAGAACAGGGAACGAGGTAAACCGGATCAACTCACAGCGCATCCTCGGCCACAGAAGCTGAGGCGCGCATATGACAGCGAAGAGCCGCAACCAGACAACACATGATGCATCCCCAACCTGACCAACTAAGCATCAATGACCCATGGACCCCTCCGAAAAGCAGCCATTTCGTTTTTTGCCAGAAAAGAAGGAGAAGACTGCAAACGAACAAACTGACTACCAGGACCAAAGGAGCAGAAACCCCTGCACCAGAGGAACCCCTGCACCAGAGGAGAGCATGAAGCTCACCAACCAAACCCCCAGAGGCCAATGCCAACAGAAACAGAGCATTAGAAAAACAATCTAGAACCGAAGGGGCCACCATTAACTGAGAAGAAGGAAGATAGGAAAGCACCCTGTTTAAGGACCAGGACAGCTCAGGCGGCGCATGAGCAGGCAGGAGGTGAAACAAAGCATGAGAAAATTTACAGAACGGGGCAGAAGTGACATCACCCCGAATGCAAGCTGGAAAACGCGGTGAGCAATCACCACGTCGGGGTGGCTAAAAACGGACACCCCGGAGAACCAACAAGTCCAACATAAGACAACAACTAGACGAAGCCGCCTGCAGAAATTGTGAGACCGCAGCCTCCGCAAACAGCAAAGGAAGAAAACCTTAGAGCCAGGGCCCAAGCGAATTCAAAAGAGAGAGCGAACACAGCCTGACGGCATGCGAGGCGAGAAAAAAAAGAATAGACACACTGCCTCCTTCAGGCCAGGCGCAAACAGCTTTAACAGTGCGGCCGACGCCTGAGCCGCCGAGGCCAGCACACCAGACAAAGGCCAGGCACTCAATGCCTCCACATCCTCCTCAAGCCAGGCCGAAGGGAAAAGAAGTGCAAGACCGATGCCAAATGCCCATGGGCATGCAAATTATCAGCAACCAAGGATGTCGAAAGGGTGGGAACCTGCACGTGCAACTGCACAATGCCAGCATCTCAAAAAAGCACGGGTGAACAAGCACGCATTAACCCCCTGTGCTGCTCAGCTATTAAGGTGCTCAAATTCGCCTCCTAGGTAAACCTGCAGAACTGACGTTTCTCGCCACCCAAGCGTAGGGGTCCAACAGAACCCATATGACGCCCCTCACGAAAAGAATGGCATTCTGCCAGCCAGGAAGACTCCAGAACCTCCAAACACACCTAATACAGGAAAGAAGAACCGAATTCAAACAAGGACAGCTCCATCACAGAGGCGGAATCCGGGTCTCGCAGGAGGTATGCAGCAAGTCTCCCGAACCTCCTTAAGTGAGATTCGAGAGGCAGAAAACCTCTGGAATGATGGAGCCAAGGAACCCAAGGAAGCCCAGAACCGAACCCGGGTAGTAGCCAACCCCAAATCATACTCATACGGGGAGGGGGGTTTAGAAAACCCCTCCCCCTGCAGCAACAAGCCCCGCGAAGAGGGCACCAACACCCAAGCAGGGGTCAAAGGGTCTGCTGGTGGGACCCAGAAGCCTTGGTAGGAGGAACCGGCTCGAATGCCTCTGTCCCCAACCCGACTGGGTCAGCCCACGAAGCTGCCCAAGTCTCATTATCAACTAAACCCTGCCCCGACCCCGAAAACCCTCAGACGTTTGGGAGCCGGAAGCAGGAGGGGTAAGTGCAGGATGAACAACAGGGGAAGGACCAGGGAGCGCAGACTGAACCAAAGTCGAAGCAACTAATGCCCCCAGGTCCAGGTCCCTACAACCAAAGTGGGGCATCTGCAGGGCATCCGGGTGGAAAACCAACTTAGTGCATTGCAGTAACCTAAACCTAGCATGCAATGGGGATGCTGCCTGTACCCTAACAATAATGTCACCAGAATAGTACTGGAGAACAAGCAGAGAACATAACTCGCGTGATGAAGGCAAAAGTGGTGACTGTCACCCTGAGACAAGGGCAGACAGCAACCTTCAAACCTGCATGAGGCAGGCTGGAACTTGGAAGACACATCCATAGGTCCATCGAGCCCCGACAGGGGTGTCCAGGCCCCATAGGCTGACTGCTATGGGAAGCACAGGCAAGGGTATTGCTAACCTGTTAAGACCCAAAGCTAACGAGGGGGGAGATCAAAATTCTGAAGCCCTCGTGACGTGTACAATCACGGTAGCCTAGCAGAGTGCCACCAAAATATTATAAGTGGAACTACAGCCACACCAGGCAGACCCCCCACCAGGCAAGGAAAACAAAAGAAAAATTCCGCAAAAGTACAACGTCCCAGAGGAAACAGAAACCGGCTGCTGCATAGATAGGCAGGCTGCACAACACCTTGACGATACCACTCCCTACCCAAGGCCAAACAAGGGCCATGAAACTCCAGTTGGCCCCGACTGTGGGGTAATTGCCGAGCAGCAAAAAACCCTACGGAAATAGTTTCCCTAACTCACCGCAAAGAGAACCCTAGCATGCAAGGAAAGTACTCACAAGGCGCCTAGGGAAGGGTGCATGCATCCTTGCATCCTAAGCACATGCAGCCCAGATACTCTGAAGGACACCTTGCCACCACACGACACCACAGAGGACATCAGAAAGGCAAATTACTGCTTGGAAAACAAGGCCAGAGAAGACGTCCGCCCCGGTTTGCATTAGCTAACAAACTGGAATGCTAGGTAGCCAGAGCAGAGGGGGGGGGGGGTCCAGGACTCCTCCCCTCTGCTGAGGGCTGTGCGGATGAGCAGCGCAACTACAAGGTGTGACATTTGCTTGTCTGCTTGTTTCCTTGGGATTGTGGGGAGTTCTGCCTTTCTGTTCAGTTTACGGCTGCGATTTTCTTATCATGTTGGGTCTGTTTTGTTATGCCTACCTTTCTGGGTGTCTAACCCCAGTCGATGGCATGGATAAGGTCAATGTTTCCTTATCTGCCTGGGTCAATAACCCCGGGCAGATAAGGAAACCCCCCAAACACGGGGGTTTTCTAGGGCTATTGATCCCTGTGCCTCTCTGAGGGACGGGGGGGGCAGGTCCTGGCTCATTGTTCCCAGTAGGCTGAACTCCATAGACTAATGCCCCGGACTAATGATTCGCAAATTAGCCCGATAACTCAAAGGAGCCTCTGGGACTCCCCACAGAAACAATATCATCACTGCAAAATGTAGTACAAGTCTTGATGACTTGTACTACATTTTAGCTTCATTTATTTTTTCATTATTCTTATATTTACATTATTATTTGGGGAGGAGTGATTGTTTACTAGGCCAATATAGGCTACTCAAGCAGTGTCAGTCCAAAAGTGCCCGGATACGATGTAAATGAACATATTGAACATCATCTTAAGGCTGCATAAAATGTAAAACGAGACGACTTCAATACTTGGGACAGAAAAACAAACTTACACACTAGTGGCATGAAATCATAACGGAATTTTGGTCCAACTTGAACTATTATAAATTTTTTACTTGATGATGGTCAATGATGCAAAATGTGTCTTGAAGAGCGAGTTTAGTACTGATGAGGAAAGACTTACCGTGCTAGGCGTTCATATTCTTCTCTTATCTCGTGTGGCGTTTTAGTTCGCTGAACAACCTCCCAACCTTGGGTTTCCAATCCTGCTGTCCCCAGATTATCGTATATTGCTCGCATATGAGGATCACTTAGTACTGAAATGTGTCACAGAACAAAATAAGATATGCAAAAATTATTTGACCATATACAAATTTATAAATTACATAAAACAGTATGAAATCAATGTTATAACCATGACTACTAAAGAAATCTGTTATAGCAAGATCAAAGAAAAATTAACAGGAAGCATAGTATCATAATACTGTATTGTTTGTTTACACTAATCAATATGCAGTATAGGTGAATACACAACCATATTTCACATGTTTAAGTTTCTTCACTCCTAGTACAATTACAGTTAAAACAGATTTGTTATACAAAGGATAAATCCATTTTGTTTTAAACTGACCTTCATATGCCCTCTTTGTTTTACCAAATAGCAACTCTGCTTCCACTTTACGGTCAGGATCCGTGTGCTTGTCAGGATGATACAGCCGACTAAGTCGACGATATGCATTGGTGATCTCATCCTCTGTTGCCTAAATTAAAAATAAATATTAAAAAAAAATCAAAATATTTGAAAAAGAAATTTTTCCTAACCATCGAAAGCCAAATGTAACAAGTCATCTGCTGTACTTAACTTCCATATTTACAATAAGCCACTGAAGAAAAGAACTATTGAAACAGCTATATCAATGCTCAGTGAAAAACACAACTTAAATATCAATACCAACATAACTGCACAAGGTTCATCGTCTCAATCTAGGGAGGAGAATACCTCTTTGGTCCGTGCATCTTTGAGGCTAGCTGCTTTGGGTAGCTCGTTTACCAAGTTCTTAGGGTTTGAATCTCCATGCTATTCACGTCCAGGGAGTGTTCAACGTCCTGGCCGACAGTCTGTTCCGATTCCTTTCACTTTCCACTGAATGGACCGCCGATGCCGGTTCCTTCTTCTGGCTTTGCCGTATGTACGGGCATCCAAATGTTGACCTCTGCACTAGCTTGGTCTTGTCATCTGCTTCTTTATGCGGTACCATTTGCCGACTGTTAGGGCCTCGCAGTGGACGCCTTTCAGCTGGACTGGTCAGGATAGGGGTGCGTTTACTTCTTCCCTGATCCAGCTGTTGCTCTGGGTGCTAGTGTGACTGGAGTCTTACAGGGGAAAAATGAGATTCTTCTGGCTCCTTGGTAGCCAGCCCAGCCTTGGTTTCAGGTGTTGCTTGCTTGGTGTCTAAACCCAAGCATTTTCCATAGCTTTTCTTTCAGGGGAGCAGGGCAAGTGACATACCTTGCTGGTTCAGCCTTCTTCTCCGCTCTATGCATTTGGATTTTTTCTATGTACAGTACTGTATTTATCCCCATTTCTATGGTGATCAGGTGGCTGGGTTGATGGTGTCCCACCTGCAGTCTTCTTCCAAATGACAGTATGAGGTTTCTTGTTGGTCTTTTCACCATTTTCTCTCCCATGTTGGTCTTCGGTTTCCGCACAAGTTGTTTTGTCCTTGGCTGTTTCTCGGTCAGCATCTCATGTCAAAAACTGTCGCCTCTTACACACAGAAATCACAATAGAAATCACACAATCAGAATAGAAAAAAATCACATGCCTCAAATGAACAAATCCACAAGGGCCGTGATGAGGGTTCGAAGTCGACTAAGGCAGCGTCTGGGATCATCCCAAGCGTAAGTTCGAATCCTCATCACGGTCCTCGAGGATTTGTCGCCTCTTATCGTGCAGCGCTGACGGAACCGCTCCATCTTGCATTCAGGATTGACAAGTCTTTGGCCCTGTTTTACAAGCTTTCTTAGGCTTGTTATCGATGAGGATACCAAGGAATTTACCATCAACTTTGTTGCCAATTTGGATATTATTTATTCTTAAATTAATTTCATTTCAGGATTTATTACCAAACAAAATATAGAGTTTTGTCAATGTTAAGGGTGAGTTTGTTAGCAGTTACCCAAAGATGGACTTTATTTAGTTCAGTATTCACTGTGACATTTAGAGCAAGAGGGTCAGAACTGGAGAAAATGAAGGTTGTGTCATCAGCAAATGAGATTTGGTTTGAGGTGTTGTGAGGCATTTGGAAGGTCATTAATGTGGATGAGAAAGAAAAAGAGGGTATGCTGTATGCTGCCCTGTTGAACACCAATGTTGATGGGTAGGGTAGGAGAAATGGATTCATTCACAGAAACATACTGGAGCCTGTCCGTAAGGTAAGATTGAAGGTATTGCAGGGAGTGACCACTAATTCCATAATGATGTTATTTAAGAAGAAGGTTTTGGTGGTTGACAGTGTCAAAAGCCTTTCGTAGGTCCACAAATAACCTAACAGGGAACTCATTTTTATCAAGAGCTGTATGTATCAAGTTAATCATACTAATCAGTGCATCGTTGGTGCTTTTATTGGGTCTGAAACCATATTGGCAAGAGCTAAATATATTGTGCTTGGCTAGATAAGAGTAAAGCTGCTTGTAGATTAGCTTTTCAAATATTTTTGACAAGGTGAGATTACCACATCAGTGAGTGAGATTACCACATTTATGGACTGGGGTTACTCTCGCTTTTTTTAGAATATCTGGAAAGGTTTGGAGTTCAAGTGATTTGTTGAAGAGCAATGCAATGGCAGGAGCTAGAAATCTGGAAGCTTTTTTGTAAATCACTGTCAAATGACCCTTTGACCTCAAGAAAAAAGGTTGAGGTTATGCAACTGCACAAATCTCTTGGTATGTTCCTATCTGGACTACTATCCATGCATGGGAGACATCTTCAGAAGTATATATTTGCCCTGGAGAAAGTTCAACACTGGAAGACACAAATCTCCCCAGAACTAAGTTGACTCAACTGTCCAGAATAGATGAGAGCCACAGGACTGACAACACTGCAAACAAGACATGATGACTGATCTCATCGAAGCTTTTGAATACTGAACAAATTGGAGAATAATTATCCACACCACTTTAATTCAATTAAATTTTTATTCAAAATAATGTGTGTGTACAAAGAACATAATGTACAGTTGTAGAGACAGGAGTTACACAATCTAATAAGCCACTACTGTATTACACAAAGCATTTCAGGCAAAAACATAAAATAGACAAAAAAAAATTAACCAAATGTGTGAGGGAGTAAAACAATACTAAAGGAGAAGTAAGCTAACAAAAAGATAATGGTCATGGAAAATAACAAATCAATGCAAAAAAAGGTGACACTTAACGATGACAGGCATAGACTATTACAATACGGAGTCAGCAGTTGTAGCAATGGTCCTGTACAGTAGTAGTAGTTGTTTAAAAGCACCTCACAAGACCTTGGCTATTTGGCTAGCAAATATTTTCGGTGGATACTTAGGCAAATTCACAGAAGCACATGTTATTCATACTCAGGATTTTATTGAGAAAGTAAAGAGACAAGGCCCCACAGAAAAAATAAAATGGTTAGTTTTGATGTTGCCTCATTTTTTACCAATGTGTCTTTACATAAAATATTAGATTTTCTAAGACCACAAGAGGTAGCAGGTAATTTTGTTACTCCGAACCCTAGCAGTTTATTCTTGGAGCCGATTAATATTTTGTGTAGAAGACACTTATTTCAATTTCGATGGGTCGGTATATAAACAAAAGTTCGGGGTGGCTATGAGTTCTTCCCTTTCCCCTATTCTTGCAAATTTATATATGGAGTTTTTAAGCACAATTAACACCCACAGTAATAAAAGATGGGAAAGGTCCCAGAGCCTGATTCTGTTGCTATATTTGACAAAGATTTCGAGAACCTAGATAGGTAGGCCTAGATAGCTCAATAGCCTCGAGTATTCCGTACAGTTTACTATGGAAAAAAAAGTTAATAAAGCACTCTCCTTTTTGGACTGCATGGTAGGTAGAAGCAACAATCCATTTACATTCTGTACTGACAGGAAAAAAGAGACACATACAAACTCATATATTCATTTTTTCTCATATCATTCTAATTCAGTTAAGCAAAGTGTACTCACCAGTCTTTATCTAGGAGCTTATAGGATTTGTGACCTGTTTTACCTAGAAGCTGAACTTAAATACTTATAAAAGAGTTTTTTGGGATTTAGGTTATCCCTCGTGGTTCAATGAAAAAGCACACATCAAAGCTAAAGGCATCCTTTACACTAAAACTGAGAGATGCCCTTGAAATCCTGATAAGAAAATGGTTTTGAAATTGCCTTATAACTCTCGTTTAAGTAAACTGACCGGCAACGCAGCAGATACAAAAAATCGCTCTCAATTACCCTGATACAATTAGGGAAAGGATTAGTAAGAATAGAGTAGGAGAGGATAGTAATCCAGGAGGAGTTTATATATTACCTTGTAGAGATTATAATGAAGTCTATGTGGGGGAAACAGGGCATAAACTGGAGATCAGAATTGAAGAACATAAGAAAGCATGTAGTATTATGGCTGGCAACAGTGCTGTAGCTAACCATAGTTCAAATCAAATCAAATTAAATATTTATTCAGGTAAAAGTACATACATACAAGATGAGTTACACACAATGTTGGATTTCTAGAAAAAGCTAGCACATATAATACCCACAGCATTTCTGGTAAGGATTGAGAAAGTTGGGAAAATAGATCACAATATTGATTTTAAGAAATGTAAAATAATCTATAAAAGTAATAATATTAGAACTAGAAGGGTAGTGGAATGGGGTTCTAATAAACACTCTGAATACTTTCTTTTGGTACAAGAGCTTGACTTCGGAGGATAGCTTTACTAGGAAAATATTATCAATGGATTTTACAACAGACCTAATGTAACCCTGTCCACCCTAGCCTGACCTAAGCCAACCTAACTGAAATAGTTTTTAACAATTAGAAAATAGAGCTAGTTTCAAACACTTGTCAAAAGTCTTAAAATCCATCTTAAGTGTGTTGTAAGAGATATAATTCAATATCAGCCCCCCATGACCTTGACCCTCAGTGAAGACGAGTGTGACTCAACAATAACAATGATAATTGTTATTGTAAACAATTATAAACAATGATCCTAAAGTCCTTGTCATTATGCAATTCAGTATTATTAAACGTCAGAACTCTGCTGAGTTCTAAAATCCCGATGAAAACAATGATCAGGATAAATGGGGTAGGACCTTTGACAAGCCACCGGCTTCCTGTCCTCACCGAGACCACTGGAGTACCAGTGGCCCTCGGGTAAAGTCAGGTAAATAAACTGAGTTAGGTGTGATGGAGAGAGCGCACCCCTAAGGGTCCGGCATCAGCCACCTCCCTCACCCACCTTCCTGGAGATGTTGAGGAAGGTGTAGTAGTCGTCGTCGTGGCCCTTAAGGTCCTCCATGAGGCGGGCCATAGTGAGTGAGTGAGGGTAGTGATGGTGAGGCTCCTGCAGGTGTGTCGACTCCCCGGCCGCCACAACACTGCCTCACTCTGCTGCTGCTGCTGCTGCCTCTCACGCCTCGTCGCCTCCTGCTGCTGCTGCCTCACGCTGCCTCATATCAACCTTTCACACGCAATGTTCCAGAAAAAACTGTTCGCAGATGACTTCTAACTCGTTTAACAAGATTTGTCAGGAGCCCATTTTTTACCACAATGTAGCTCTTAAGCCATATACTCATCTATTTTCTTTGGAACAAGATCGGCCTATCGATTTACAACCAGTCCCCAATTTAATTACTATAGGAAAAAATTAGTTCGGCTCATCTAATATGACCTCTATACTTAACCTATGAGTGGTAGGTGAAAATGTTACACAAGTAGTACATAAAATAATGGCATCAAGAACCTAATATCATTAGTGTATACCGGCAGCAGGTTTTCATTTATACATGTTTCATTCAATATAACTGCATACTCTGTATTGATTATTTTCTTGTTTAGGGCTTCTATCCCTCTGACTAATGCTCTTGCATCTTGTTATAAGTGGAAGACGATTTCTCCGAAATCGTATACACACACAGTATATGTCTCATTGAATATGACCGCATATTCAGTATTTACTATCTTCTGGTTTAGGGCTTCTATCCCTCTAACTATTTTCCTAGCATCAGGGCTTAGCTGAAAGACTTCTCCAAAACTCATTTTCGTTATTTCAAGGTGAAGAAAAAAGTGAATTACTATAGAATGTATTACACTTATTTATACAATTTGCACGACGTTTCGAACCTCAATGGTTCATTCTCAAGTGAAAAATTACAGAAATCGTTGATTTATACCCGTACGGGGTCAGGTGATAAAGGTAAAAACAATTGGATACATAGGGGATAAAGGGGGACGAAGCACATAAGAACATAAGAATAAAGGTAACTTCAGAAGGCCTATTGGCCCATACGAGGCAGCTCCTATCCCAAAGATTAATCAGGTGTAATTGGCCTGTTATGTTGAACAGTGTCTTCTGTGTTGGCATCGTTATGTTCTGGTCTTGTCCTTACTCTTATGGTGGGTAGAGTAAATAGTTCCGTGATTTGGATCTACTCTTTGGTGGTCGATCTCGAACCCATTCTTGATGTAACGACTTATACTGAATATTGTAACTAGCTCATCAAGATTGTAACTTGCTTAGCTAAATGAATTGTGGGGTTCAGTCCCTGAGCCCATTATTATGTGTATTATATTATCAGCCCTTGACAAAAATGAGTTTCCGATTGGACTCTTCATTGACCTAAGAAAAGCCTTTGATACTGTTAATCACAACTACCTCTTACTTAAACTCCAGCATTATGGAATCCGAGGCCTTGCCCTTGACTACATCCGATCCTATCTTAGTGACAGACACCAATATGTAACCATCAATGATACAACTTCTTCCACTCTACCAATTACCGTTGGAGTGCCACAGGGCAGCATCTTAGGACCTCTTCTATTTCTTATATATATAAACGATCTGCCTAATGTCTCTAATATTCTCAAACCTATATTGTTTGCTGACGATACTACCCTTATCTACTCAAACCTCAACCCACATACACTAAATAATGTTGTGAATAATGAATTAAAAAAAGTCCACTTATGGATGTCAACGAACAAACTAACATTAAACATCGAAAAGACTTACTACATCTTATTTGGAAGCAAATCATCAAATGCAATTCAGCTACAGATAGACAACATTACAGTCTCCGTGGTGTAGTGGTAAGACACTCGCCTGGCGTTCCGCGAGCGCTATGTCATGGGTTCGTATCCTGGCCGGGGAGGATTTACTGGGCGCAATTCCTTAACTGTAGCCTCTGTTTAACGCAACAGTAAAATGTGTACTTGGATGAAAAAACGATTCTTCGCGGCAGGGGATCGTATTACAGGGACCTGCCCGAAACGCTACGCGTACTAGTGGCTGTACAAGAATGGCCAAGTAGCACACCCTCACCCTCTACACAGAGCAAACGAGTTAGTCGATGCTTGGGCAACCACCTCTAGCTTCAATAATCTTCCCCAGACATACAGTTCAGATTAAATGCTGGTTACGGAGATCGAGAAAGGCTCGTTGACTTCATGCTCCACAAGGAAGATGAATGCAACGTGCCATTTACTGAGTTTGAATTACTCGCGGCCCTAAACAAAGGCAAAGCCACATCCCCCGGTGAAGATGGTATCACTTATGACATATTGCGTCTGCTCCCTTTAGTACCAGGGAATCCCCTACTTGAGCTGTATAATATGAGCTATGTTACTGGGGAGCTTCCTAACTCTTGGACCAACAGTATAATCATTCCAATTCCCAAGCCAAATCAAGAGAATGCTTTCCGCCCAATTTCCCTTACTAGCTGCATTTGCAAAACATTCGAGAGAATGGTCCTAAACCGTCGCCTCCATAGAATAAGAACCATGCTATCCCCCCAGATATATGGCTTCATGCATGGAAGGAGTGTGCATCATTGCATCACCACCTTTCTTACCGTGCACACTGAAAAGTCATATACCACCTTCCTAGATCTTAAGTCTGCCTTTGATATTGCAAATAGACATGTTATCTTGAGTGAGCTTGCAAGAATGAATATTGGTGGTCGGCTTCTTTGTTGGATCAGGGGTTACTTATCCAACAGGAAGTCATCTGTATTTTTCCAGGGGCATAGAAGTGTAACAAGAGACTTTGAACTAGGCACCCCGCAGGGTGGTGTCCTCAGTCCTACCTTATTCAATATCTTAATAAACACGCTGTTAAACTCTGTACCGAGCAAACCCAACGTCCACATCATTAGCTATGCTGATGATATAATGATACACACCACTGGGTATGCTAACACGCAGAACACTCTTAACTCTGTATTAGACTCATGTCAGGACCTAGGTTTAATTATCTCAGCAGAGAAAACAAAGATATTAAATCGGCGCCCACCCAGGCAGGGAGGAGCTGTTCGCAAGATGCAACTGTCTGATGGCTCCCAGCTTGACTATGTAAACAGATTCAAATACCTTGGCCTTGAGGTGCCACTGTACGGTCCTGTTGTATTCAGACTCTGTCGTCAGTTTAAAGAGAGGCTCCGAGCTCTCAAGGCTGTTGCAGGTTATCACTCAGGCTATGGTGCCAATGTCAGAATTGTCAAAATGATGTACTTTGCATACATCAGATCTTTAGTAGATTATGCTGCACCTCTGCTTGTTTTGATGCCTGAAAGAAAGCTTGGAGGGCTTGAAAAATTGCAAAACGAAGCCTTGAGGATAATCCTTGGGTGCCCTCGTACCACAAAGATACTTAATATGAGAAAGGAACTTAATATTCTGAGCGTTGTTGATCGTGTTACTGAAATTAACTGTCAAATTGGTATAAAATGCTTAGGCTAACTCATCCTAATCCTTGCACAGAAGCCCTCCAGAATTTCTTTATTGAAGATCAGCATTGTTCCAAATGGATAACAAAAACTGGAACTCAACTCAGAATGTATGGGGTTCATGATTTGTACCAAGAGAAACAACAACGGCACTTTCCTGCACCGTGGGAGGTTACACCCTTTCCAGTTTTAATCCCTCCCTTTCCACCCAAGAAGCAAATTAGAGATCAGCCCAAGCTTCGTCTTGAGGCAAAGCTCAACGCCTTAAGCCATATTGATGCTCTGTCCACAGAGCATTCTCTCTCTCAAATTATATATACTGATGGTTCCCTACACCGCACCACGGGTGCAGCTGGAAGTGCAGTTGTCCTGACAATGGGCGATGGCCTATACTTTGAGTGGGGAGTCCGTATAAACAACTGGGCCTCTACCCTTCAGACTGAACTATTTGCCTTGATCCTTGCACTGAAATGTGTACAAGTCTCAAAACTTGATACATTAATTGTAAGTGACTCCTTATCATCCTTAAATGCTCTCAACTCTTTAAGACATAACTGTAACATGCTCGTGTCCGAAGCTAGACACAAATACAACAAAATTATTAAGGATGGTAACAGAGTCCATTTCATGTGGTCTCCATCTCATGTTGGCCTCCGAATGCATGATAGAGCTGATAAGTTAGCCAAAGAATCTGCCTTTAAAGGAGCCGTTGAGTGTAACCTTGGATTGTCAATGAGCAATCTGAGAGCAGCTGTACACCGAGAACTTCAACAAGATCTTGTAGATCTGAGGCAAAGTGAAATTGACACCAGTAATTCCATCTATCATCATACTATCATGCAAGAGGAGCCACACATCTATGGATCATCCAATAAAATCAGCAGACTTCTAGATGTTACTACTGCTCGGCTTAGACTCGGTTACAAGTATCTCTGGGAATTCTCATTATCTGCTGATGTAGACCTGACCAAATGTAAACTGTGTCAACAAAATTATTCGCACACCCTCCGTCACTATGTGATGGAGTGCGAAAAGATACGTGAATTTAGAGACAATTCTATAACCAATGTTCCAGCGATGTGTCAATATTTCATTCAAAATGATCTGCTACCAGAAATTTTAGCCAAATATCCCCAGTTTGCTAACTGTAGGTAGTAACTAAGTGATTGTAACCTATCCACCGCTGCCCACTGGATGGGGGGCGGTGTGCAGGACAAACATATCAATTTTGACACTAGCTCTCCACATATGTCAGTTGCTTAATTTAGAACCTGTACTTGAGGTCGATCTCGAACCCATTGTTGATGTGATGACTTATATTGAATTTTGTAACTAGCTCATCAAGATTGTAACTTGCTTAGCTAAATGAATTGTGGGGTTCAGTCCCTGAGCCCATTATGTGCCTCTGTAACCCTTTCCACTACCGCCCACAGGATGGGTATGGGGTGCATAATAAATGAACTAAACTAACTAACTAACTCTTGTATATATCTCAAAAAAAAAAAAAAAAAAAAAAAAAAAAAATCAGTAATAAAAATGATGGCAAGTTTCTTGGCCTATTCCTAGACAAGAGACTCAACTTCAGCACCCACATTCAACACATAACTAAGAAAGTCTCTAAGACAGTTGGTATACTCTCCAAAATCAGATATTATGTTCCTAACTCTGCTCTCCTCTCACTATATTATGCACTAATCTACCCCTATCTTAATTATGGTATCTGTGCATGGGGGTCTACCACTGCAAACCACCTTAAGCCCATCATCACACAGCAAAAATCTG